GTAGTCGTGCTCTCGGTCTCACAAGGCGTCGTCTCCGGGGGCGGCGGCGGCGTAGTCGTGCTCTCGGTCTCACAAGGCGTCGTCTCTGGGGGCGGCGGAGGCGTAGTCGTGCTCTCGCTCTCACAAGGCGTCGTCTCCGGGGGAGGCGGAGGCGTAGTCGTGCTCTCGGTCTCACAAGGAGTTGTCTCAGGCGGAGGCGGAGGTTTTGGGGTCGAAGTAGGAGGCTTTGGAGTATGAGGTGGTTTTGGGGTATGAGGAGGCTTAGTCTCTGTCTCTGTAGGCGGCTTTGGGGTATGAGGCGGCTTCGGCGTGTGTGGTGGCTTAGTCTCTGTCTCTGTAGGGGGCTTTGGAGTGTGTGGTGGTTTAGTCTCCGTCTCGGTAGGAGGTTTTGGAGTATGGGGCGGCTTTGGAGTGTGTGGAGGCTTAGTCTCCGTCTCGGTAGGAGGCTTCGGGGTGTGAGGCGGCTTGGGAGTCCACGTAGGGTGAGGAGGGGTGGACTCGGTGCTTGTTTCGCATGGGGTGGTGGTAGGCGGCTCCCAATCATGATCATGGCCGTCGTCATCATCATCGCCATGGCCATCACCGCCGTGACCCCAATCCCAATCATGATCGCCGCCGAAAGATCCAGATATCTCAACACCACGTTCAACCTGGGCTGGAGCAGGTGCCGCAAGGACACTGCTCACAGCACCGAAGGTGGTGGCCAGGAGCAAAGGGCTGACCCTCATCGTGGAAAGGGTATAAGCGAGAGGCTGTCAAGAGCTTGCAGTAATTATTCTTGTGTAGTAAGAATAAAGATCAAAAGCAATATCGAGAACAAGCACTAGGGTAGCAGTGAAACACCGGAGAAACGAATGTGGGTTGCAGAGGCTCTTGCGGAGGAAAGCTCGCACGAGGAGAGAAAGATCCTAGAGATTAGGGCAGGCCATGTCCTCTTTATCAGTTGACCCGGGGGCTGGCGCTGACAGGCAATTCCACTGCGTCATTTCGGTTGACTGCAATCCTGCCGTCGACCCCGGTCATTCTGGACGGTCAGTCCGCGACCATTTTCATGGCAACGGCGGCCTCCACTGGTAGGGTCTTCCTCTTTGCTACTTGGCAGGCAACTTCGGTATCGAGTGGATCCTGAGATGAAGGCCACTGGACGTTCCTCAGCCCTAGTGCGAGGCTAGAGACCGACAGTGCATTGGTGGCTGGGCCTGATAGATCAAGTTCCAGCCAGTGCCTGGTTAGGGTTCGAGACGTGGCCAAGGTAGCGTTCATACCCCGGAATAGCAGTGGAATGGGGGAGGGATACGTGGGGATGGCCTGACATTGATCTTATCACGGTATCATTGTTCCCCCAGCCATCTGTATCCGCATATCGTGGCCAAACCAAAGCATCTGCTGGCCTGAAGCATTACTGCAGCTGCCCACTGTATATACGTACAGTATACCGTGCATATGCTGAGCGACGATCTTGGTGGATCAATCAAGACGGATAGGCAGATAAGCACGCAAAATCTGCGGACGCATCGTCACATTGGGCTGATGATGTCGTGCCACCGGCACTCGGGCACTGGCAATCGTCAATGACACCGTACCGTGGCTGACAGGAACTGTCAAAATAGATTAAACCAGAGACATCCTTGCAAGCGTCTGCTGGAGGGGCCTTTGGTCCGAGTGAGACTAGCAGAACCTTGCGAAATGGAAGTTGATCCTGGCCCTGGTCATGGAAGGCTGGATGGATGAAGGAAGGAATCCGGAAATTGCATCGAGGTCAAAGAGGAAAGGCGGGGTTGGCGGCTTGTACGGGATGAGACATCGCCGTAAATCAACGCCTCCCGTCGCGATAAGACGCCTGTTATAGTCTCTGAATGAGGTCACTCGAGATAAGTCTCACCTATTATTATCGTCGATTCGGCGGAGGGGTTGGGGATTGTCTTCCAGACCGGCCAACCTGCATTAGTCCGTCCTGCTAATCCGGAGTATGCACAGTGATTGTGACTTCTGCCGCATTATTCGAGTCTCAACGCGGAGTAGACTAGACGGAATCATTATGGATACAGAAATCCTTCCTTGCCATGATGCCTGTCTTGTTGTCTTGTTTATCCGCCAGCCGAAGTACACGCCAGCTTAGTACGGCGGAGTACCCCGGTCACCATCCCGACCCTTGTCCAGATGGGCACCACTAAGGATCAGTCATTGGCTTTCGCACACAAAGACACTCCCCAGGTGGTACTCCTCCATACTCCGCAGGACTCAATTATCCCAATTATCCCACAACTCCGAATGAGGAGACAACCAAATTGGGCTAAGCAGGGAACAAGTTCCAAGTCTGGAATGATTTAATACGCCAGACGCAGCATCGCATTGCACAACAGAAAGCGGCCGGCCTGTAACCTTCTCTTGAGGTGAAAAGTTCAGCAGCTGCCTGGGATCACGAAGGACAGATTAGAGACTGGTCGACAATCAAGAAGAGTTGCTGCTCCCCATTGGGCCATAGGATGGCTGGGTTACCTTCCCACCTCCTCACTAATGATGATTCATGCTCCGGACCAAGAGGCTCTCTTGGGGTTCTCTTTTTTGGTCAATTTGAGACGATCAATGTTGTCGGGATCAGAAATCAGTCCCGAAATCCAATAATTCATTTGTGAGGGAGGGCGGGGATTGGGATCTGGTCTGGATGAATGTTTCGGTGGCTGGGTCCATAGAGTACTCCATCAGCCCTCTGGTAGAAGAGATTGCATGAGACATGGCAAGGTGGCAAATTGATTCGGGAATGACCAGAGATATCCGGGAAGAAAAGTGGATAGATATTCGATCCAAGAGAGATATAGCATAATATACAGGTAATATACAAATAACCAATCCAGAAATATATGGTGTAGTCCGTAAGCCTGCGCTGGATGATATAAGCGTCTAATAATATTACATGTCGATCGTCTATCGTGGAGCTAGTGATTGGAAGTCTTCTGTGCTGGCTCTTCCTCATTGTTGCGAGCCGCGGAGTCGCTTTCAGCGGGCTCTTTGCTTTCCGGCATGGCATCCTTCAGCTCGGACTCCCCATCGACAGCGTTGTGGACCACTAGACCATGCCGAGCAGACTCTTCGCTACCAGGCGTGGCATCCTGGGATCGGGGCTGTTCCTCAGGAACACCACTTGTTGAATCGTGATCAGCAGACTCTCCGAATTCAGGTGCAGCATTCTCGGATTGGGGTTGTTCCTCAGAAACACCGCCTGCTGGATCGTGATCAGCAGACTCTTTGAGATTTTTGATATCAGTTGTAGCATCGTTTGATTCGGATGGTTCCTCGAGAGCACTGTGAGCCGGATCATGCTCAGCCGGCTCTTTGCTTTCCGGCATTGAGTCTTCGCCAGTGCGCGTGTTGTCACTGGTCTCCAGCTCCAGCTTTTGCTCGTCACCGTGTTCATTAGCCGCGATACCTATCCTCGCAGCGTTTTCACTGGAGTGTAGCACGTTACTCAGAGTTGACTCTTCCTCATGTTGGTTTTCGTCCGCGAGTATATCTGTCTCAGCCATGTCTTCGCTGCCACGAGTTGCGCTGCTTAGTGCGGACTCCACCTCGGAGCCCTGCTTTTCTGCGAGAATATCTGTCTCGGTGGCGTTCTCGTTGTCGGACACATTGAATGCACTGGGGCCATAGGATTCACCAGATTCCGACAGATCAATCTCCGCGCCTCCATTAGCACTCGCGAATTCCCGCTGTACGCGTTGCTGCTTCTCCATGGCAATCTGGCGAAGCAGAGATGCGTTCTTCCGGAGTTTCTTGTTGGCAGAGAATTCAGTCAACGCCCTGACCAGTCTCTCTTCCACCAGTTCTTTCACGTGGACTGACAAAGTGCGGTCTGTGAAAATGCCTCCGAAGCGGTAGCTGAGCCAGCTATAGAGAATCACAGCTCGATGCAGCGCTTCCAACTGATGCATATATTCCTTGTTTCCAGACACGGGCTCTGCAAGGACTTCGAGGTTGATTTCCTCAATATCTAAGAGTCGGCCATTTTTGTTCTCAAGGACACAGCGGGCGAAAGCCATCGCGACTCTGCGTCCAATTTCTTCTCGTGCACCGATGGGTGCAGCCATCAAGGTCAACTGATCTGTGAGATTCAAGCCAGGCACTGCATCAATCACCTCCGCGTTCTCTAGACAGGGTGTAGGGTCGCAAATGAAAAAGAGGGGATTTATCCTGGCAATCTCCGTTAACCGGTTGACCATGTACGCAAGTGAGGTATTCCCGGGAAAATAGGCCGCAAATCTCTCATAAACAGGGTCGGGAGGGGCGATTCCCGCAGCATTGATCGGCGGTGCTTCCGTGTTCAGCGCCTCTTGGATGTAAGGGAGGTCGACTTCTTCTAGAGAGGTAACATAACCGACGTTTTCTGTATCCTGCTGATGATCCTCTCCGTGCTGTGCTGCTGAGCGATAGCGGCCGGCTCGTCCACCGATTTGCTTGACCTCTGAAACGGTGAGCCTCTGAAGCCCGGTACGGAGATTCTTCACGACAGTTTCGAATATGATGCGCTTGCAGCTCCTACACATAATTAGAATGTCCGTGGGTACCGGGCGAAGAGGCGAAACTCACAGATTGAGACCCATGCCTATGGCATCGCTGGCAACCAGAAAATCATAGTCATTATCTGGATCGTTGAAAAGACTTGCCTGCTGGGTACGGATCTCAGCGGGCAAGCCACCGTAGATAATAGCAGCTCGTCGACCTGTTTTCCTTTCGATCTCGGCCTTCAGGGCGTGGATTCCAACTCGGGAGAACGAGACGATACAGTCCCCTTTCTCAAGTTTGGACAAATCTCCTTTCAGGCTATGTTTCATAGCTCTCAGCGGGTTCAATCGCTCATAGCGGTGGATCTCAAGCTTGTCTCCGGTGAGAGCTGCAAGCTCCCGAATCAGAGGCACCACTCTGAGCTCTCCACATAGGTGAAGTTCTTTCGCTTGACATCCCAAGACAGCACGAGTCCAGGCCCAACCGCGCCTCGGATCGGCTATCATCTGGATCTCATCAATCACACCAACATCGTAGTTTTGCCCTAAGTTGGCCATCTCAACTGTATTGCTCACGATTACTGCCTTTTCACCTTCAGATATCCTTACTTCATCGCCCGTGACAAGGTTACAGGGGATACCACTTGTCTTAAAACGATGATAAACCTCTTGCGCCAGGAGCCTCAAGGGCCCTGCATAGAAGCCGCTTTTACATGTCTCCAATCGCTTCAGGGCATGGTATGTCTTTCCCGAATTCGTTGGTCCGACGTGTAAATGGATTGTCCGCTGGGTAGCTCGTGCCTGGGCGTACCATTCGGCGGGGTATCGCAAGTCTGCGATTTTCCGCTGCTGCTCCAAGTTGGGCTCTGAATATCTGGCATCGAGGTCAAACGCATACAAAAGTTGATCCAATTCAACTCTCAATCCAGCAAGACCATCCTTAAAATAGGCCTTAGTTAACGTGCTTTTTGTTTGGAGCAAGGAACCCTTCGATTGCTCTCCCGTTTCCGTAACATTGCAGGCATTCTTTACGTAGCGCTCAAATCGTTGCCATAACGCAGCATCCTCCTCGTTTGTGATTGAATCGTTATCTTTCATGTCTCGAAGTATAGACACGGCGAGTTGAGGTAAATTGGCGACGGGCCTCCCATGCCTGAAAGGCGAATTGTACCTTTCACCGAATTTATCCTACTCGTAAACAACATTAGCGTAGTGTTACAGACAGGATACCCAAACGCAATATCTCGTACTCTGACTCGTTGTGCATGTTTGGCACTCTTCTTTGCCTTACTTCCACCCTTCCGCTCAAGTGCAGGTGTTGTCGTGAAGGTCCGCGCTAGAGGGCGTAAAGAAGTTTGAAAAGCACCAGGCAGTACATGACTGCCTCGGCTTGTCCATAGCCACATTACCTTTGGGCCGTATATGAGAGGAATAATAAAGACGAGGCTGTTAGCGAAGCTGTCGGGTTGCGCAGCACAGGGCCGATTTTATCGGAGGCACTTTGCACATCCGAAGCAACTCATAGAGGCAACTAATAAATGAAAGACGGAAGACGTGCTGCTGTAGTCTAGCCCTGGTTGAAAGGAGAGGCCCAAGGCATCGGGGAATTGGCTTGGAAGCTGATGAAGTCGCAAAGAAATTTGAAGCGCGCAAGATCAAAAAGTTGCCTCTCCAGCTCCGGCTGATTGCAGATCGCGGCCGCCGCCAACCGCAGAGTGGGGAACATCTCCGTAGGTACCTCCTCTACGAGCCATGCTACGTTTCATAAACAGTTCTCCCTTTCTTCACGACACCCTGCTCACTACGCTACCACGATTCCACCGCAGCAGTCTTACTTTATCTACCTGCTACTCCCGATACTTGTCTATTCGCTCTTCTGCTCGAGACCAAGAGCTCTGAACCGACCTCCTGAGGGCTGCCGGCCAGCCACCATGAGCTCATTACTCAACATCCAGCGGGAAAGTAAGTCCTACAGCGAACTGTTCCAGCTACGAGCTCTCTGCTAGTCCTAGCTGCTGATACCGATCTAACATCCAGTCATCCTGAACACCATCCGGACTACCGGGGGCGACAATGTGCGACCGCGACCCCCGCCTTTCCCCTCCTGCTCTATGATTGAACTGACGTTGGCCGTGTGCAGTGGAAAGTCTTGGTGGTAGATGAAGGTAGTCGCAACTTGATCCTCAATGCAGTCAAAGAAGACGATATCCTCAACCTCAATGTCACCAGTAAGCCCATCCTGTTAGTTCACACCGACCGGCATTGGCTGATCCCCGCCGCCAGATATCGAACAGATCGAAAATCGACGGCAGTCCAACCAGTCGATGGATGCCCTTTATATCCTCTCCGCCCTTCCCCACATCGTCGATTGCGTTCTGGCCGATTTTGAGAGGAAGAGATATAGGAAGTCATATCTGGTGTGGACGTCATGTTGGTCAGCCCTGTACCCTTCCGAATGCGCCCTGTCCTCACACGCTTGTTAGTTCTCGATCCGGGGCTGCGCGCTAGGTTTGATCGGTCGCAGATGGTCCAAGAACAACTTGCAGGGTTTCAAACCATCAGTATCGACTACTATCCGAGGGAATCGCGCCTTGTCACGTTCCGAGATCCGTGGAGTTTCCCAGTCCTGTTCCATCCCGGCTGTAATCATTTGATCCGGGAGCATTTGTCAACGTTGGCGCACAAGGTAGGTTATCCGCCTATACTGTCGATTTCCATCACTCACAGATGCTGTAGGCTGTGTCCTTATGCGCGACATTAGGTGAATACCCCGTGATCAGATACTATCGGCCTAGGACACCCACCCATGAAGCTAGTGTACTGTGCTCGCACTTGGCACGATTTATACAAGAAGAACTAGATCAATTCGCGCAGTTCAACCGAGGTTTTCCGCCTCCCTCTCCCAGGCCCCGTGGTGTGCTTCTGGTTGTAGATCGATCGATGGATCTATTCGCGCCTTTGATTCACGAATTCACATATCAATCGATGGTTCACGACTTGCTGCCGATTAAGGAGGGGGATAAAATTACATACAAGATGGTTGTGAACAAGGGCGCTATCAACGAAGACGTGAAGGAGATGGAACTCAACGACCAAGATAGAATCTGGGTCGAATACAGGCATATGCACATGAAGGATGTGCTAGGAAAATTGGGCGAAGACTTTGCCAAGTTCCGAGCAGCTAATCCACAGTTCGCGGAAGGGTATTTAGTCCCATTTGTTTTCTAGTATCTTGACTAACTTAGTACAGTAACGACAAGGCTGACGTGGGCATGATCAAAGACATGCTGGCTGGTCTTCGCGACTTCCAAGCAGGCAGAGATGCATACACACTTCACTTGAACATGGCTGAAGAATGCATGAAATTCTTCCAGGATCATAAGCTCATTGAGGTAAGCTCAGTTGAGCAGTGTCTCGCAACCGGCCTGGACGAGAATTATAAAAAGGCCAAGGGCCTGGCATCACAGCTTGTACAGCTGCTAGATGATGACACTATTATCCACACCGACAGGCTGAGACTCTTACTGTTCTACATCATTTACCGCAACGGACTACTTCCCGGCGACATCAGGAAACTCATGGCCCATGCCCAACTTCCACCGCAGGACGGAGGCGTTATTTCCAATCTCGAATTACTCGGCGCCAGAGTCGATAAGCCATTAAAGGATGACAAGCCGCCCGTACAGCCATTGTTTAACAGGAAACCTCCCGTGGTGTCTGACTTGGATGAAGGGATTCTTTCCCGTTATGAACTTAACGTCAAAATGATGTTAGAAGACGTTATCAGAGGAACTTTGGACCCTTCCACTTTCCCACCTACACGTCCACCAACCGATGCAGACGCCATGACGGCGCAGCAGGACTCCTCCGCGCAAGCGTCTCTTCGAAGCGCAAAACCCACTTGGGCACGGACGCGCACGACGGGGGAGCAGCCACGGCAGCGCATCATTGTTTTTATGGCTGGGGGTGCCACATACGGCGAAGCACGAGCATGCTATGAGATTTCCGAGGCCTTCAAGAAGGACGTCTTTCTCGCTACATCTCATATGCTGACTCCGGGACTGTTCCTCCGCCAAGTCGGTGATTTGAGCGCAGACAAGCGTCGTCTTGATATTCCCGCCGAGCGACCGAAGCCGACAGCCCCAGCCCATCTGTTTGAGCGGGATCCCCCTCCGCCTCAGCCCGCACCACAGATGAAACCGACTCCTGCACCTGCACCTCCTACCGCGGCAATGGGAGCGATGTCTCTGGGACCGAATCCTCCAAAGTCATCTAGTTCAGGGAAGCCGCCGAAGGAGCAGAAAGAGAAGAAGAAGCACCGTTTCTTCAGGTAGAATTATTCAAGCTTTGGCGTCTCGGTTTACTCTTTGTTTCAGTCGCGCTTCTGTGATACCATCTAGGGTTGTTTAAGCAAAAGGCGCCGCGGTATTGGTTCGAGATTTCTTTTGCTCCTGAGCTGATCATCCCAGCCTTTCAAATCGCTAATCCTTATATATAGCACATGGGTATCATAGAATGTCATAACAATCATAATAAGAACGCCGTAGTAGAGTCACCCGGCACCGAGGTACCTCAGCACATCATCATCCTGATAAAATATCTCCCGTAGCTTCTCGCCCTTCTTCCTCGCGTCCATATGCCCCTTCCTAACTTGCTTCGCATTCAACTTTTGAATCTTGTCCTTTTTCCTCTTCTCCACAGACACAGGAGAGGGAAGGACAGCCCCCAGTCCCACCGTATCAGCCTTCAACTTCCCCTTCAACGGTTCTCTAATCCCCTCCCGCCCCGTAGCTCCGAGGCCTAGCCGGCTATCTGGATTCCAGCCGTAAGACTCAAGGTATCGAAGTCCGTGACTGGTTCGATCAAGGTGAGAAGGCGGATGAGAATGAGTAAGACAGACTTGATGTGCAATGGATGATTCATGAAGTTTGTCGTCTTGTGTTCCAGAGGAAGAGGAAGCGAGTGGGAGATTGCAGACTTCGCATGTTGAAGGCGTGTTTGAGGTTGGCCGGGGAGGTGCGGAATGGCTGCGGTCGTCAGCGGTGGTGTTCGCGGGGGTGTTCACGACAGATTCGGCGGTGACAGAAGACGTTTCTGATATTGGCGCTGTGGCAGAGTTTGAGTCTGAGACTGACGCCTTTGGCATGACAATCGAGAGGTATGTGTTTGCTATGCTAGACCCCGTGGAAGCGGGCGTGGCGGGCGCGGAGGAAGTGAGCGTCGACAACTCAGATGATTTTACGAAAGGAACACGCTTTCGCGTGATGCCTGCGCCAAAGACGCGCTGGTCTTCAAGTGGGAGGAAATAGTCTTCGTCTTCATAGGACATGGTTCGATGGTTGATGAGAAAGTGAAGTTGAGGAAGGCGCGAGTGTCTGCGGTGGTGGCGGGAGATCGGCCGCTATTTTGATGTTTCGCAGAGCTCCAGCTTCCGCACCTTCTTGACCTTCACACCCACCCAGTGACGCAGGTCCAACTCGAGATGCCCATCCCATTGATCACCACGGGCATCTTGGAGGGCCTATCGGCTATCCCGTATTCCTATACGGTTCTCAAGGTCACACCATGGATCCTCCTCATCGGGGCCCTGAAGTATTACTTCGGTGGTGCCCGGAATGCCTCCGAAAGGCTGATGCACAGCAAAGTAGTCATGGTGACGGTACGCCCACCTTGAGATATCCTACTATGCAGGGCATCATACTGATTTTTTAAACCTTGTAGGGAGGCACATCCGGCATAGGAGCTAATGTCGTCTACGAACTCGCAACGCGTGGCGCCCAAATCATCCTCCTCACGCAGCATGCTCCGTCGGACATTTTCCTCATTGACTATATCGAAGATCTGAGAAAGTCAACAGGCAACCAGCTCATCTATTCGGAGCAAGTTGACCTCTCCTCTCTTCACTCCATTCGAACCTTTGCGACCAAATGGATCGACAATGTTCCTCCCCGTCGACTGGACATGCTCATCCTTTGTGCAAACACGGCGAATCCGACTCCGTCGAAGGAAAGAGTTACTATAGATGGAATAAATGAGGAGTGGCAGGTCAACTACCTGGCAAACTTCCACCTCCTTAGCATCCTAAGCCCAGCACTCCGAGTTCAGCCCCCCCACCGTGACGCCCGCGTGATAATGGCAACGTGTTCAAGCTATATCGGCGCCCCGAAACTCGACTTTGCGCAGCTGCACGCGGATACCATTCCCATCCACAAGCAGATGGAGGCTACCAAACCGCTACGCACTCCGGCATCGAGGAAAGCGACCCCCAACCAACAGCGCCAGTCGCAAACTCAGTATAAAGGCATATATGGCCTAAGCAAGCTCTCCCTCATGATTTTCGCAACCTCATTTCAAAAGCACCTCAACGCCTTTAAACGCCCTGACGGTCAACCTCCCTCCACCCGTGTGATCCTCGTCGACCCAGGCCTCACTCGCACCCCTGGAACCCGCCGTTGGCTTACCGGAGGCTCGCTCTGGGGTCTACTGGTCTATCTTATTACCTGGCCCATCTGGTGGCTTGTCCTCAAGTCCCCGCAGCAGGGGGCACAGAGTATTCTGTACGCAGCGATGGAGGCTAAATTCGGCCGGGGCACGGGCGGCTGGATGGTGAAGGAATGCCGGGAGGTCGACTTCGCTAGGAAGGAGGTTACGGATGAGGCTGTGGGGAAGCAGTTGTGGGAGGCCAGTGAGAAGCAGATCGAGGAGAGGGAGAGGGAAGGGGCTGTCCTGCGGGCGTTGGAGAAGAAAGAGAATGAGCAAAAGGAGAATGCGAAAGCTCGGACTCAAGGGTCAGTTCGAGTCAAGAAGTCTACCTCGTCTGCGTCATCTGCGTCGGCTGCCTCTGCATCAAGCGGTGCTAAAGAGCAGAAGGCTGGGTCCAGAAGGAGTCGGAAGGGCAATGGCAGCAAATAATGTATCGATAATAAATATAGGTTATACCCACAGAACAAGCATCGCCTGTTGACCCCGAAAACTGAGAGGGTGTCTAGTATACCAAAAGCAAAACAAAAAGAAAAGAAATTCGTTTCATTCTAAACCGGAAGCTCATTGTCGCTATCAATGCGATATTTATCTATACTTCACTTTTGACACAAGCTAACCCTCATGCAGTAGAACATCCTATTCAATGCATTCCCAAGTACCGTATCATATTAAATTAAGATTAACCTACTTCTTAAGCTGTTCCAGCAGCTCAGCAGGAGGCTGTTGCCTGTAACCCTGGGGGTTGTTCTTGGTCCAGAGCCACAGATCCTCGCAGGCCTGCTCGAGGGTACGCTGCGCCTTCCAGCCGAGCTCGGTGTTGGCGCGCGTAGGGTTGGAGGTGAGGTTGAGGACGTCACCCGCGCGGCGGGGAGCGACCTCGTAGGGAAGGTCACGACCAACGGCCTTGGAGAAGGCGCGGATCATCTCGTAGACGGTGCTGCCGCGGCCGGTACCAAGGTTCCAGGCGCGCACACCGGGGTTGTTGGCGCGGAGGTAGTTGAGAGCCTTCAGGTGGCCGTCCGCCAGATCCAGGATGTGGATGTAGTCGCGGATGGCGGTGCCGTCGTGGGAGGCGTAGTCTGCATGCCTCGGTTAGCCCATATCCCGACTTCAATGACCGCAAGGAGAGGAGAGCATACCATCACCGAAAACAAGCAGCTTCTCGCGCTTGCCCGTAGCAACCTGCGCAAGCAGCGGGAGCAGGTTGTAGGGCACACCCTGGGGGTCCTCGCCCATGATACCGCTGGGGTGGGCACCAGCGGGGTTGAAGTAGCGGAGCAGGGCACCGTTCCACTTGGCGGCCTCAGCCTCGTCGCCGGCCTTCTTGGCGTTGTTGCGCTGGGCGTTGATGACGTCCGTGATGGCCAGCTCGATGGCGTACTTGGTGTTGCCGTAGGGGTTTGTCGGGCCGAGCGGGCAGTGCTCGGGGATGGGGATCATGTCGGGGAAGCGCGTGGCGTCGCCGTAGACGGTGGCTGAGGAGGAGAAGACGATGTTCGTCACATTGTGGCGTACCATTGATCGCAGGAGGCAGATTGTGCCGTATACGTTGACGTGGTAGTAGTCGAGGGGCTTCTCGCCGGATTCGCCGACGGCCTAGGTGGGTGCGGGTGAGCATTGGGCGATTTGACAGTGCGTATGGAGTGTTCGGACGTACCTTCAACGCGGCGAAGTGGATGACGCTGTCGATGTCGGGGTGAGCCTCGAACACCTTGTCGAAGGCGGCTTCGTCGGTGACATCGAGCTGGGCGAACTCGGCCTTCTTGCCCGAGATCAACTCGATGCGGTTGAGGGCCTCCGCACTAGAATTGTAGAGATTGTCTGCTACGACCACCTTGTATCCGGCCTCAAGCAGAGCCAGGGTAGTGAATGAGCCAATGTAGCCGGTTCCACTGCGGTGAGGGACAGGTCAGTAAGTGCTCCGGATGGTATCGGTCTAGATATACAACGTACCCGGTGACCAGAACGGATCCAGAAGGCATGGTGAGGAGGTGCTTGGAATTGGGATGAAGGACCAGAAGAGAGAGGACTAGCAGTCTAAAGAAAGACGGATGAGATGGGGGGATGGCGGGAGATTTAAGGGGAGATGGGCGCTGGGGAGCTAGAAGGGCAGCGGCATAGTGGGGGGTGCAGCCTCGTGGAGGGGCAGCGGACATTAAACATGATCCATCAAACGGACTCTACAGGAACGCCGCGTCCAGCCAATTGGATTTCTACCACTCATCAGAAGCCACGTCTTCGACGCCTCAAAGTCTCGAACGATAATTGCCCGGAATCCCTTTCATTGCCAGGCACCGTACGACTGCCATGGCTTCGGACAGGCCCCAGGGCGACCCGGAGCTGCCATATGGATCGGCATCGCGAATAAAGGTGCATACGTAAGTACTCCCCTGCATCCGCGATGATCAACGCCGGCTTGATTAAACCCTTGGACTTCCTCCTGAGCAACGATAATTCCAAGCGATATTTTGGACATGGCCGAAACACAACAGTGAACACGGACCCCGGGCACGGTGGTACGGAGTAGATAGATCGAGAGGTGTGGTGGGAGTCGCGGCCTTGTTTCAGGGACGTTCCAAGCTCGGCATGACATAGCGAGATCCAGCCAGTGGCTCCATACTCCATAGCGCCCGATCCCCGTCTGTCCGGCTGGGTGGATTACTATACTCCGTAGGTAGCGTATAATCATAATCAATACATCCATTCATGACAACCCATAAATTGTACAATAGATCAATCAATTTACAGAACATATTCTCTGCTTCTATTCTTCCTAAAATAAAGACCCCCTCACGACCTCGCCTTCCAAAGCGTATCGATCTTCTTCTTGCGCGCCTACAGTGTGGAAAGTCAGGACCTATTCAAGTAGTTGTAGGGGGTTGGTGGTAACATACCATAGGAGCTAAAATAGCAACACCGATCGCCAGCGCAACAATCGTCAGAAGCAATTGCAGCTTCGAGAATCCCTTGCCTAAAATATCAAAGGCCTGAGATGGTGTCGCCCTGGTAGCGAAGATGTCGTTTCCAAACCCGAAAATCAGGCTTGTGCTCTCTAGGAGCGTGGGCGCGGACAGGACGGTGTTTATCCCAGCCACTTGGCGCGCGTGAGAGAGATACCATCGCCCGTCAAACTCGAGAACGGGGGCGTACTTCATCAGACCTTCTTCGACCTCGGTGGAGGTGGGGTCTCGGCCAACTGGACGGCGGGGGTCGATAACTGGACGGGGGATACCGACAATGGCGTTGGACTCGGGGAGCGCGACGAGGAGCTGGCGAGTCGTGATGCCCTGCCGGGTCTGGGTGACAGCCATGTGGGAGATGGGTTCTGCAATGATGAAGGCCTGGGAGATGACATGAGGGAGGGGTAGGTCGGCAATGGATGAATAGTTTGCGGCAGACCCTAAGGGGCCACGGTCGTTGGGGATGGGTGATTCGTACATCTCCGAGACGACGAGTTGGTAGCCCTTAGCTTCGGAGGGGTCGGAGCCCTCGGCGTAGAAGGAGTATGCGAACCAGTTCTCTGACATGGCGGAAGCGATGGGCTGCGCGGTGTCTACTCCTTTGTGAGTACTCGTATACAGGATACGGCCAGTAACTCCATCAATGAGATAGAACGTGGCCGAATTGTCGCCCACGGTTGTAACGAGAGCCGCGTTGGGTGTTAGATATTTGTATAAAACGGACCGGTCGCCCAGGACCTTGCCGATTGAGGCGACGGGGTCGTGAGATGGGCGAGCAGTTGCGCGAACGATCTTCTCGCCTGGTGCAGGCTGGAACACCCAAGCCGGGACACGAGAGTCTTTCGAGCTCCACCCAAGAATTCTCTCATCTTCCTGGGTCACGATGTACACATCTGAAGACACGTCGTCCTCAGGCGATAGTGGGGACTTGCCTGTAGCGGAAGCGCGCTGAGTGATAGCTCCAGTAGTGACGTTCAGCGTAACAGAGCTGCCATCGTCGACGTGCACGGTTGCTAAGCCAGGCTGAATTTGGATTGATTTAACATTCCAGGCATCCTCTTCAGCAGCCTTGACTCTCCAGGAAACCTTGCCGTGGTCTCCACTAGCCAAGGCGTAAACCCAGCCGTTCTTGGTAGCAACGATGACAGGTTTAGATACGCCATAGCTGTCCAAGTTCGAAACTTCGTCAGCCAAAATACTGGTGATGACACGCTTAGGAAGCTCCTTCAACCAGTCAGGAAGATGTTCAAGGTCCTTCAGATGACGTTTTACACGGTGCGTGTACGCTTTGATAATACTCTCGTGGCCTTCAACTTCGAGTTGGTGGGCGAGATCCTGCTGGCTGTCCACGTCGGCCCAGTTAGCAGCCAATGCTTTGGACAGTGCCTCAGGCCTGGTCCACCCAACCGCGCCGTTCTGAATCAATTGCCAGTCGCCAGATTCCAACACAATGGCCGAGCGGAGAGCCACGGAGTCGCCTTTCATAGCTACCTCAGAGACCGCGTGCAAGGCGCGGTCTAAGGGAGGGTGCTGAGGCCACCTTCCGAGAACACCGTGAGAAGCGGACGATACTATGGTAGTCTCAGACTCGGTGACCCGGGTGAAGTACACATTTGCATCCTTGGTGCCGGTAGAGAAGGCGGACCACCCCTGCAAGAAAGGCAAGCTGTACGCCTTGGACACAGTCGAGGATGCTAGGTCAATGTGATAGACCTCTGCCCAGGAGCCAGACTCAGTCTCGTACTGAACGAGAAAGTGGGGTAGGGCATTGAGGGTCCTTGGAGCGTGGAGCTTGATGGATCTGATGTCCGCTCCGCTGGTATTCCCTATGTTGACCGCCGTCACTTGCTTTGTGCCGATGGCATTGATCTTGAGCGTCCTGTGCGACTTATCCGCCCAGGCGACAATAGGGAGCGCGGTGTTGGCGCCCACAAAGAGAACTGAATCCGGCCCGGTAATATCATTGTCAGAGTTTAGAACCTGTTGAGAGGTCTGTCGACCAGTCAGAGGATCTAGCGAGGTGACCCGGAGCTTGTAACCCTTCAGCAAAGCCGGCTGGAGGGAGATGTAGAAGACGTCGGTCGAGGAGGCGGACACTTGGAAGGGCACATCACCACTATTAATCAATCTCGTTAGTATTTAGTCCTGCATAGGGGTGCCGAAACAAACCTTTCATCATGGAACTCCCACTTGATCTTACCAGTTGACCCATCCAGTCGCTTGACCGAACCTGCCTTGCCTCCGGAGAGTGCAATTGCGTCTGTGACCGACGGAGCGGAGCTGGCGTCTTCCAGCTCTAGCAACTCAAGATCAACCACCGGCATACCAGGTGACCAGTTTTCCCAGATCAATTTTCCATCGAGAGCGCTCCATGCGGAAACGTAGTCCCCCAATGCGCTTACAACCGCGTTTGTTCCTCCAGAGGCACGCAGCAGACCTTGGTTGTCATGGCCGGGCGTTACGGCGGGACGGGAGAGGTTTTGCCTCCATAGCAGCGCTCCATCTTTCGGGTTGACGGCACCAAGAAGCGACTTGTCGGACAGCGTGTAGAGAAGGGCAGCGTTCGAGGATGAGGATGGCCGCTGGAAGAAGGTGGATTGCTCCGAAGGAACACCTAACAGCGCATGGTGGAAATCAATATGGCCGACCTCGTCAGCGTAGATGGCGAGCGTCGAAGGGACGCAAGAGGCGACCAGAAAAAGCGTCGCCTGCAGCCGCATTTTATGAGCTCTGTCGCGGAGGGGTCATTGGGTGGTTGCGAGGAATATGAAGGTCCGTACTTGCGGTAGGCACCGTAGCTAGTGCTGGTGGAGAACTTTGGGGAACTCCGACTCCGACGCCGAGCTTTGGCATCATCAATTTATTCTAGACTAGACTCCTAACATTCAAGGTAATGTACCCTCAGCGTTTGTTTACGCACCAAGATACTAGATTTGGTTATATATAACTATGCTATTTACGCGAAGCACTTCTCATTCGCACTCTCAACAGCCCGCTTCTCACCTTCGGTCATATCGGCGGTGATCTCCCATCGCTGCTGTCCCAAGCCCATGGATTGCTGTCCTTCGGCACTGATCGAATTCCAGTCCAGCGCTCCCTTGAATCCAATCTCACCTGGACCACCAGCTCCAGGGAAGTCCCATGGCGGGGAGTAAGCGAGCGCCGCTTTCCGCTGCTTGAGCAGGTAGTCGACGTTCATATCACACATCGGGGTTGCAGGAATATAGAGGACGCTCGAGTCACCTTTGCCTCGGTGCTCCTTGTCAACCGAGTGCAAGGAATCGCAATGCCAGGCGACATAGTCACCAGGTTCTACTTCCGGGACTGACACCATCGTCGTCTCCAGTTCAAGATGTGGGTGGGTGACCGGGTTGTATTCCTGGCAAGCACCAGGCACAGACCCTGGGAAGGTCGCGTCCATCGCTGGCTGCAGGGTCTGGCTGTCGAAAAATGGCCTGAGAATGGTGTACGCTGTGCTGTGCAGCAGCATAGGGCAAACATGCAGTGAGCCTTCACCTGGGGCTGTCTTGGACATGGACAGCCAGCCCTGGAAGAACCTCAGCATGGAGCAGGCGCCTGCGCCATTGTACAGATCCATCTTGGCAGTGAGGCGGTGCTTTGCGTCCCATGCATCGTACTCTTCCCACTTTCCTTGCAGGATCTTGGCGTATACCTTGGAATACTCGGGGTCCTCCCAACGCTCCAATGAGCCTCCATCGATATGAGGACCCAGAGTGAACTTGCCGTCACCCGGCTGTCGAATTCGCAGGCGGTCCGCATATGTAAGCGGATTCCGGGTCGAAATGCGTGTACTGGGATCTGAAGAGTGCCACAGGCGCTGCAGGAAGCGCTGTGTATTCAGTACGTTGGAATGGGCTCGAGCTTCTGCTTGCGATGGCGTCCAGTATAGCTCAAATACCGCTGGTGAGTCTGGTGGGAATGCTTTAACTCGCTCTTGGTTGGCTGCAACATAGTCCTCAATTCTTTCCTTCCATCCCCTTGCTTCTCCCCGGGGCGCCACGTTCCTGATAACAACGGATCCCCGATGACGGATTTCCGCCAGAAGTGCCGTGGATAGATTGCCGGAAACAACATCAGCGTATTCCACAGAAGGAATAATCTAGCCCTGTCAGCCTATACCATATGCAACAAGATGTATCACACATACATCGCTCCCTTTAGCCTTAATCTTCTGTACTTCCTCCTCCAAACTCGGAAGAAGCCTCTCCCAACTCTTCTTCAGCGCAGTCTCATTTTGACGAAATATCTTCTCCTTCAGATCTTTGAACCGAGGCGGCAAAGGCTCCGGTTTATAGTCTGGTCTCAAGCTGGGGAAGACACTTGAAATGTCCCCGGCGGCTTTGGTAAGTTGGGCGGATGAGGATGTAGAAGCCGCGCGGGCGGTCGACCTCGTAAGAAGCTTGGAGAGTGACATAGTAAAGATGCTTGAAGTCCCTCGACTGCAATGATTTTGTTCTCTTCTCTTGCGAATGACCTGCCCGGCTTTATACCTGGGGAATATGGGGTATCAATGGCGGGAAGCCGAATGCGGTAAGCGGGCCGACTACCCAGCACGGTAATCTACCCGCCCGATCAGCGTCATCGGCATTTCCATGCGGAGTACTCCGTATAGCAATAATCACGCTGTGCGGATAACTATTCCACTTGATCCCTGTTTAGAGAGGATACCACGGCCTGGGCTCTTCTCCATGGCTGCAGCTGCTCCGTGGCGCTCATGGAGTACAGTACGTACAGGCTCCGTGATTTGTTGCCCTACCGGATTGTCCTTGATTTGAGCGGTAACTATATTTTATGTCTACGAACAAGCCAATAGTAGTTATTGTATTACGACTTGCAGCAGAGGGCCAGGCACACAATTCTGCGACAGCGCTTGTCCTGTACTGATCAGGGGCGTGTTACCAAAGCTTTTCACTGCCATGGGTTGACACCGGCTCGGACTTGGGTTCAACGGGGGTACCTTGAAGACAAACAAGCAAAAAGCCGATCTTAGATAGATGCTTGAATCAGGGGTGCCATCAATTCGTGTTCGGTCGGTCTATTTGGGCCCAAGTTCGATGTACGATAGCCAATATGGTCCCTAAGTTATCGAGTTCTTGACACAGCTGGATCATCAGACTGATCTTTATACAAATGCAGCAATTCAAAGAACCCAGATATAATACAGTTGCGCCATTTAATAAACAGATTTCTTTCCTTCGCACTTAACCGAATGCCCATGAGAGAGGCTTATTCCTTCTTGGGCTTCTTGGTACCGTACTTCGACCTGCTAGTCACCCGACTGGCAACACCACCCTGCACAAGACCTCCGTTAGAGCCAGATCGATGCAATAAAAGTTGAGGGTTCTCGAAGCTTACCAAATCCATAGCTCCTCTGACCAAATGATATTTCACACCAGGGCAATCGGGAGCTCTGCCACCGCGGACAAGAACGACACTGTGCTGCTGGACATTGTGACCTGCAATCGAGTACGACACGTTAGCATACCAGCCCAAGTCAATGATTCCGTAGTCTCGAGTCTAGCCAGTGTGGCCTGACCAGACAAATTATGCGGCGGAAAGTGAAAGAAAGACCTACCTTCACCAGGGATATAGCACGTAACAACCTTCCCACTGCTCAGCCTAACCCTAGCAGTCTTTCGCTCACCAGAGTTAGGCTTCTTTGGCTTCGTGATACCCGTCTTCATGCACACGCCCTTCATCTGGGCGCGGTTAATGAGCGCCGGGGACCGGGAACGGCGCGCGGCCTGCGCTTTTCGGCATCCACGGCGGACTTGGTTGTATGTAGTCTGGCGGAAGGGCGATGAGGAGAATTGGCGGACTAGGGAGGGCTTTGCGGCGGCGACTGCTTGCGCTGCGGCGGGAGTGCGGAGGATGGGTTGGAATCTGGGGACCGCTGTAGGCTTGAGCGTGGTCGTGGAGGGGCGCTGGATAAGTGTCCGCAGCGTGCGGAGTGCGAGAGGAGAGAAGAGGGACGGCATCTTGGCTGTCGATGGTGGGTATTGGATGCGTTACTCTCTCCGGAGTGGAAGCCGGTTCAAGCATCTGGGGATAATTTCTGGATTGTCATGTGACTAGGGCTTCTTGCGGGTGTGGTCTCTTTGGCTCACCCAAGGAGCTGGACGCGCCATTCTGGAGCTGCCTTGGCTGTCTGACCGTCACTGACCTCCGAGCTGTTCAACACCTTCAACTACCTCTCCGCCCATTCACACTCAATACATCTGCTTCGAATCTCTCCGCTTCGAACGGATCATACAACACTCCATATAAACCATCAATAGCCGATACCTCCCAACAACCTTATAACCACCACGATGGTCCGTCCTCTCACTCACCAACCTACTTCCACAGCAAGTCTATCCATCATTTAAGCCAACTAACCAGCAAACAGTCTCTCCGCATCGCCCCTCCCGCCTCCCACCCAACCCAAACAACCAACACCTCAACCCAGCACCTCCCCAACACGCACACCTCAAAAGGCGCCCCCTCCGCCCCCGGTATCCCCGACACCCTCCGCTCCAACATCACCCTCCAAGCCCCCCGCGGCGCTCCCTCCACTCAGCCCGCAAACGCAGTCTCCACACACCCCCTCGAAGCCCGCCTGCTCGCGTGGCGCCAAACCCAAGATGCCCTGAAGATGGAGGGTCTCCGCCGCACGTACGGCATTGCGGAGCCCGTGCGCCGCGGCATGGAGCTGAAGATAGTGCGTGATGGAACGTTCAGGCCTGCTGTTCTGGGGGGGAAGAAGGGGGGCAATGTCCATGAGGATATTCTGGTCCTTGGAGGGCGGGACACGGAAGTTGGGTGGGAGGATGTGTTTCATGGTTTGTTTGCCTTGTCCTTCAACGGTGGAAGAATGCCCCTGGCTAACATATTGCTTTCTTGCTTTAGGAGACGACTTTCGGGAGCCGCCTTCTTTCCACGACGAGATGGAGAAGCGGCTGCGGATGGATTAGATTGATGGGTAGTCTGGGATGGGAATCTGTTATAGATTCAAGATTGTTTGTTCTGTCGATCAATGAATTCTTCATGCATCTTGTCATGTCATCGGGTCAATACAACATTTCCGGATGAGGAATTATCTCCAAACAAAACCCTGTATACTTAAATGAAGGGTGTAGACTCCGTCCTGGAAACCTAATAGGGTAGGCCTATAAGCTACTACGATACTCTGCAGTCTACGCATTTTTGAGACACTGGTAGCATAATAATCCCGCAAGCTCACTTGGCCTTTAATTCATGCAGCTATCTCGCTCACCGCTCATTGCCCTTCTGGCTTCCTGAGCATATCTACACCGAAGCTGCAAATCAGAAGGCGGCCAAGACGCACGACCTCGAGAAGGATGGTCGAGACCTAGAACTCCCAAGAACGACTCACATCGACTGACACGAGATCCCAGAGGGAACAGAAGCATATTACAGCAAAGACGAAGGAAAGTAAGATAAAAGGAAAGCCCCAAAACATAGGTAGAGAACATGCTTGAAATTGCCTTCATGAGCCAGACAAAAAACAAGATGGATATATGGCACCAAGAGACATGAAAGGAAAGAAGAGAAGCGAAAAGAAAAAAGAAAAAAGGCAGGCGAGGAAATGGGGTATATAGGACGGTGCTCGAGGTTGTAAGGCAGAAAATAGTCCAGTCCTGGTACGATGCCAAGAAACGGACATGCGAGTCGATCAACTCACAGAAAAATGACACGGCAAAGCGCTGGAAAGGAGGGTCAAGAACCATAACGCCATCACAGGTTTCAATAAGTAGCGGTTGACGAGGTATGACATCTCACATCAAACCTCCGAGACGACGGCCAAGGTAGGTGTTAGGTATGGACAGGGACGATCCCAGGCAGCGGAAGGTTTGGATGATGTGGCACATGAGAGTCCGCAGATGAGTCGAACTGGTTGGTGCCTCTGCATATGCACAAGGGTGATTGGGTGAAAAATGTCCTGGAAACTGGCCCCGGCCCATGGAAAAGTGCAAGGTACAGTCTATGAATATGTGTACAGACGATCCGATCCGCCTTCATTGAATGACACAGCGGCACCGAGGGCTCCGTTCGCTGGCCTCTCGATCGCGAGAGTATTGCGCCTTGCCACCCTTGGCGTCCTCCTCGTCAACTATTTCTTGCGGTTTGACAGTCATGTGCACCACGTTGGGTGCGTCACGGCTAAACTTGGAATCTAATACATTATCAAGATCAGACCCAGGGCAGCAGGAAAAGGAGTAGAGTATCACATACCTGAGAGAGGAGATTTATCATCAAGGAGCTTTCCAAACGAGATTAGGCGGATAGAGCTAGGGGATGATGGCCGGGGTTCCCAGTCTAGGATGTATCAGCAGCTGGCCACCAGAGCTTACTTTCATTGATCAATTCTTACCGTCTTGCCATGCCCTCCAGATTAATTCCTTCAGAGTGTAGACGCTCATGGCGAATGGATCATAATTATCCACGCTGACATCTCTTTTTCGCAGGTAGTTTGCATCGATCTTGAACGGGTGTCGTGTGCCCGTTATCAACAGTAAGACGATAGTCAGCGATGGGCCAGACTGCTCCGGTTCCTTGACGGATGCATCAGATGACAACTCAGGCGCTGGAACTTCCACCTTTTGCTCTTCTGGTTCTGGTGATGCGACAGTTGGGACGATAGCCTCTGTGTTGGTTTGATGTGAAGAAGCCGGCGTGGCGTCATTCTCATTGTCTGCGGTGCTCGTACTTGGCGCATCGGCCGCTGTGTTCTCCTGCGGGGCCTGAACGGGCGAAGAAGTTTTGACTGCGGCGTCGCTAATGTCGACGGTCGAACTGGAAACTGGTTGTGAAGAGCTGGGAGCAGCGGATATTGATATCGAGTCACCTGTGTTTGTGGCAGGGTCTGGGCCGTCCGACTGCGTGTAGTCCTTTGATGCCATATTCTCTTCGTTACTCCGGGCGGAGTGTTCACGGTTTAGACGTTGAGTAACTGCTGCAAGTCGGGAGGAAAAGAATTGCGAGCTGGCCGATAATCCGGTGATGATTTGAGACAGGAGTTGGTGATGGAGCTGACACGGATACCGGTGGACAGGATGAAACAGCGATCGGGCCTGGAGCAAAAGGAGACCAACAAGTTGAGGTGATACGAGCGAAACGCAGGCCTGGAACCCTAACTATAGACGACGACTATTTTAAGAAGATTCTCAGTGCCACGCGATCAGGAAGCTCTCACGGGGATGAAGGGGAGAGAGGTAAAGAGGAGACAGATGGAGAGAGCCAAAGGGGAGGAGAGGGTCGGGGCGAGTGGAGCTGGGCACCAAGGATCCGTCCGTCGGCGGTCTCAACATGGTCTCCAAGTGATTTCACACTGTCTCCTTCTACAGTACTACTACTACTGTTACTATTCTTGAAGCAGTTCAATCCATCTCTACTTCGTACATTCCAGCTACGCTGCGATTACTGTAACCCGGACTGCTGCGAGTGGCGATACTGAGATTGGCCACACCCGCATGCAGCCTGCTTTTCTTCGCTGCGGATCTCTCGTACGCGGCCCGTCCAATACCAGGAACATGAGCGATAATATTTTGGCATTCGTCTTATTGAGGTGATAATCAGAGGATATCTAAGCGCTATGATAATCAATTTCAGTATAGGCGAAACGTTGCGCGATGATCCGTTAGCTGGAATATACGCCAAGTCAGAGAGTCACTATTCTCACTCATCTTAACGGCCCTGCCGAACATGGCATCCGGAAAACTACGGAGTACCGAAGCCCTTCTCTGGACCTGATAGCAATACAGAGTAGTACACTGTACTCTGCGAGCCTTACTCAAACCAACCTCTGAATTGATGGATCCCAGTCTTGCTAAAGTGCAATGGGTCATCTTAAAGAACCATGGAACATGAACGGCAATATCACCAGTTTGTGCTGCAGGCCATTATCCCACATAGAGGAAAGGAGACTGCCAGCCATTTTTGCTTCGATCCAGTAGACCATGGCCTGCCAATGCATGCAAGTTTCATATTATGCATCTGCAACCAAATGGATTGCCTAGAGGTCTCGTGTTCATGCTCGGTCGAACTCCGCTGTTCTCCAGATGGAACACTCAAGCTTCGGTAAGCGGCGAGCGCCTCAGGTTGACAGAATAAGCAAGTATATCTAAAGCCCCGGGGATTCTTTGATGGTTCCAATCGGTACAATTGTCAATAGCCGGGCTGGTCCCTTATCTGATCCTTGAAGTACGAGGCTGGTCTCAGCTTCTCGGGTTTGGACTTCCAGCGCCATTCGAGCGTCGAGCTGGTGAAAACACCCTTGGGAGGGTCGACATCTTGACTGTGGTCGTAGGAGTTAGCGGGGCAAGCAGCTCTCATCCACAGGAAGCACATAAGGCTGCTAGCAGGACTAACGAGTCACAAAGATATCTCGGCTCAGTCATGAGAACAGATACATCCAGTGTCTAAGGCTCTACGCGCAAACGGCGTACTCCGTGCGCCAGTACGCCAAGCATGGCATGCATTGATAGCGTGTCTACCACGTTTTGGGCTGAATCTGACAGTGTCTGGGCGGTTCTCGCATGTCCAACTGCCAATAATGACAACCGTTGACTTCCCCGGCATGAAAAAAAGACAAGAGTCCTGGTATCAAGCTGGGCACTATAGGCAGCAGAGACGCAGCAGTAATGCAGGATGCCACCCTGTCAGCCTGTCAGGCAATTTGCTGACTGTCCTTTTGACATGCAACATCACCGCCAGTACACGGAGTAAGGGGTATGCAGCTGTTCTTCAGGGGAGCCGCGGATTTTGTCCTATTAGCGCTACAATACCAGATTCCTATACTTCAAACTGACGTCAGAGATTAAAATCTGAGGTTATCGTGACATCGCCCATGCCCCATGCCCAGAAGGGTTAGCTGTGGGGCCGGCTTGTCGTCCAGATTCCAGCCAACGGCCCAACCACGGTTTCCCGAGCTCTGAATGACAGGGATGCTTGATCTCGAGCCTATCAAAGGACAACGTGCAGGATAATAATGGTTTCTCAAAGGGCCATTGGCTTGTGATTACGGGTCTGGATCTCCACCTCCAAGCTAACGACAGAGCAGCGAATGGTGGTGAGGACCAACTCCGCGCCGAGAGGCCGCGAGGTCGGCTGCCCTATCGGCTGGAGATCCTGACGCTCAGGGTTTGGCTTTGGCTTGACTTTGAATGCGGTCTTGTTCGCTTTCAGGTTGGGAATAATATCATTTCCTTTTTGCACTCACTTGGCCACCATGCAGTGAGAGGCCCCATACTAAAATTAACTAACCGCGAGACTCCGCCCCTGGCGTACGCGGGACTACCTACTCGATACCGAGCTGAGATATAGCTGGTTAGCAACAACTGCACGGTGCAGCGCTGCAGAGACACTAAACTGAAAGCCAATTTTTCCACCACCCACTCTTTTTGCGCCCACGCGACCGTCGGGGCTCCTCAGGATCGATTTAAAATCCACCGGACTCCGCTAGTTTACGCTCGCTCGACACCATCAATATCATGCTCAGTGACGGTTCATCCGCAGTATGAAGTTTGCCAAGTCAGTGGCCCGCTGTTTTCCTTACCTACACCCTGCATTGACGCACAGTTGCTGATCCCTCGGCGATTGACAGAGAATTGGAGCATGAGCTGGTTCCTGAGTGGCGGGCCAAATACCTCGACTACAAAGTAAGACTTGATTCCGGATTCGTTGCTTTCTTCTGTCTTGATTCCAGTACTAAGTTTGCTATTTCTCTTGCAGCTCGGGAAAAAGAAAGTCAAGGCAATATCGCGCGCCATTAACAAGGCAAACCGCACACCGACTTATGCTTCTCTGAGACGTCCTACAGTTGGGGCCGAGCTCTTGGATACTCCAGCTGGCTCCAACCGGTCCGCATCGTTTCGTCGCGCAGAGAAACGAATTGAAGGAGGAGGCACACAGAACAATCTCGCGAGTCCGAACCTTACGACAAGGTCCACCCCCGGTCAGCGACATGAGCTACAGCCTCTGCGAGTGCCAGGCTCTCGGTTTTCTGCCGTGCATGGAAGCTATGGCAGTATTATCGCATCACCGCCGATGCGCCCGGGTACGTCAGACGCCGCATCTCTTGAGCTGCCTGGTCCGGCTCTGGATGTCGACGAGGATTCCCGTTACTCGGATCAGTATCTGGATTTACCAATCTCCCCGAAGACTACGCTGCCCAGACATGGCAACAAAAGAACCGTCTCCAGGGGAAATACCCACCTTAGTCCATCGATAGCAAAACAGTCGAGTGCCAAGAATAACGAGACCAAAAGACCCGCGACGCCTGGATCCTCCATTAGGCGCAATTCCCGGATTTTGAAACGTATGCTATCTACAACTGACTCGCCGGAGAAGCTTGTAGAGGCTGATCAACGGTCCGATGTTGAGAAGAAGCAAGACGAGTTCTTTGCATTCCTTGACGGCGAACTGGAGAAAATCGAATCGTTCTACCAGATGAAGGAGCGAGAAGCGACTGAACGCTTAAAGGTGCTCCGGGAGCAACTGCATACCATGAGGGATCAGCGCATACAAGAAGTGTACCACGCTAAGCGGCACCGGACCGGAGAGGGTGAGCAGCAGCCGTCAGAAACACGCGGTGGCTTGAATGGCCGCAGGATCAGAGCTGCCATCACGGGACGCCGGATTGGAAAGAACTCCAAGGCACTAGCGGCTTTGGCTACTCCCGGAGGCGAACAGCCGCAGGATGGTGATGCTATTACCAGGCGCAGAGACTTCACGCGTCACCCGACTGAGCTGCAACAGCTACCAAAGTCAGAAGTGCCTTATCGCTCGGCAAAGAGAAAGTTGAAGTATGCCCTGCAGGAGTACTACCGAGGCGTAGAACTCCTGAAATCCTACGCCTACTTGAATAGGACTGCCTTTCGGAAAATCAACAAGAAGTACGACAAGGTGGTTGATACACGACCGTCGATGAGGTACATGGCAGAGAAGATCAACAAAGCATGGTTCGTTCAAAGTGAAGTAACTGAAAGCCTGCTTGCTACTTCAGAGGATCTTTATGCTCGCTATTTCGAGGGTGGCAAGCGGAAGATCGCTGCCTCAAAGCTTCGCCATACTATCAGGAAGTCCGGTGATTACTCGCCAAGTACTTTCCGTTGTGGCCTGCTGGGGATGGCTGGTCTTCTATTTGCTATCCAGGGTCTGATTTACGCAAGTGATCGCATGGATAACCCTGAAATAAGTGGACAGACAAGTTACTTACTCCAGGTCAGTCTACAAACTACTACTTATTCCCTGGCTAAATTGCTTACAACAACCAGATTTATGGGGGATATTTCCTAGTCGTTTTTCATTTCTTGCTCTTCTGCGTAGACTGCATGGTCTGGAATAAGGCCAAGATAAACTATGTTTTTGTCTTCGAATACGATACTAGACACGCACTGGATTGGCGCCAGTTAGCTGAGGTATGTCAATTTGCTTATGGCTGATATATAGTACTGACTGTCGGCTAGCTTCCTTGCTTTTTCTTGTTCATGTTGGGCCTTTTCATGTGGCTCAACTTTTTGACGGTCAATGATATGTATATCTACTGGCCTGTCGTCCTTGTTGGACTCACTATGGTCGTGTTGTTTCTACCGCTACGCGTCCTATACCACCGAAGTCGCAAATGGTGGGCATATTCTAATGTAAGTCAGCCCATTTATTATCAATTATTCCTGCTAACATGACAAGTGGCGTCTTCTGCTGGCGGGTCTGTACCCTGTCGAGTTCCGTGATTTCTTCCTGGGGGATATGTACTGTTCCCAGACGTATGCAATGGGGGTGAGTGGACCAAGCTACTTTGTCATATGCTTAAGTATTGACCTTCTCTAGAACATTGAACTATTCTTTTGTCTCTACTCAAGACACTGGGGAAGCTCGTCAATGCAGTGTAATTCGTCTCACTCCAGGCTGCTTGGATTCTTTACAACTGTTCCATCCATTCTGCGAGCTTTCCAATGTATCCGCCGATATGTGGACACAAAGAATGTGTTTCCACATCTTCTGAACTTTGCCAAATACATGTTTGGGGTACTCTATTACGCCACCTTGAGCATGTATCGCATCAACAGAACGACCCGATTCCAGGCCCCTTTCATTACATTCGCACTGTTGAATGCTGTATATGTTACAGTCTGGGACCTGGCAATGGACTGGAGTCTAGGCAACCCCTACGCCAAACATCCTCTGTTGCGCGAAACCCTGGCGTTTAGAAGAGCATGGGTTTATTACGTAGCCATGGTTATTGACGTGGTCGTACGTTTCAACTGGATCTTCTACGCCATTTTCGCCCACGACATCCAACACTCCGCCGTGCTCAGCTTCGTCGTCTCTTTCTCGGAAATTTGCCGACGAGGCATCTGGACTGTATTCCGAGTCGAGAACGAGCACTGCACAAACGTCCTTCTATTTCGCGCCTCCAGGGACGTTCCCTTACCTTATACTGTGTCCTCTACGGATGGTCAAATCGAGCAACCACAACAGCCTCCCCAGCCAGAAGTCCACGAGGCCCAAGCCTCTCTCACGGTCCCGCCAACGCACGATCTGGAAGAAGCAGTGCCATCACCCGGTGCTGCCTCAGTGCGCCCCCGGGCACTTAACCGCGTTGGAACCATTATGGCCTCCGCTCACGCGCAAGATTTCCAGCGCAAGAGGCGGCCCGACGAGATGGCTGGGGCTACTGTGGCGCATGGTCCGCAGGAGTCCCCTGATGATTCCAGTGACAATGACGAGGACGATGAGACCCAGCCGTACAGGGATTCGGATGATGCGATTGAGGAAGAGGTACCGTCCGATGATACTCGGTGATGCACAAATTTGGCTACTGGGGGAGTAACGGCTCGGATATGCCTTATGATGCTACGTTTCATGCATATACTTTTATGATTTACACCTATATATGTCGATTTGTCGAGACTAAGTCACCAACCTGCAGGAGGAACCCATCGAGCTCAACCTTGTCGGGCATGTTCAGGTGATGATACGCTACATAATCGTTTAATAGAACGCAATATAGACCTTGATGACATCTTTCTGGAGCAGCTACTCAGGGGCCAATGAAGCTTGACATCCCATGTCTGAGCCAACTGCGGCGTCAGTTGTGTAACAACGTTCAAATGAAGAGCTATGCCTCAAATGTAAATGTACATCTGGCAGCAGATTAAACTACTAGAAATATATTTGTACTCTGGCCCTAGATGGCCCTTTGTAAGTGGTCAGCCTGGCGCGTCATGTGACACGACGTCACATGGACCGTGTCATTATTGCACTGCGCCTTCTCCAGGAGCCTCGATTCTTTTCGTCGAGTTATCCCCCATCGCGCCGGTTTTACACGCTCATTTATATCATACCTTACTGATCCTATTTCCATCATGGCGGCAAACGCCAGATACGAGCCGGCTCCTCAGCGAGACTCGTTCGAGGATCAGCATTACACCCAAGCCCCGCCCTCTTATCAGGCTACTGCGCAAGAGCCTCTGCCTCGCAGCGAGGATGACAACGTTCCCGATGACTTCAAGGTAAAACTCATCGTCCCGATCCATCACGTACCGCTCAGTGGGATGCTAATAGACGATATAGTTCGGCGGCACCGTCGCGGAGGGCACTTTGCCCATCCGTATGCAGTTCATCCGCAAGGTCTATGCGATCCTGTGAGTTTAGCCGCGCTTCGACATCTTGAGTCTTGAGAATATGTGCTAACAGGTCTCAATTCCACCAGCACCGTCCAACTACTCCTCACAACCGTCATGAGCTCGATCTCATTCTTCAGCCCCAGCTACTGCGAATGGATCCGTGGCAATGTTTGGCTCATGATGGTCTCCGTCTTCGGCGCCTTCGGATTCCTGCTCATAACATACTGGAAGCGCAAGAGCTATCCCGCAAACCTTCTCTTCCTCTCCGCGTTCACCATTCTTGAAGCCTACTCCATCAGCGTGGTCACATCGTACTATCAGCCCCGGATCGTGGTGCAGGCCCTCATCTTGACTCTGGGCTTGTTTGTAGGTCTCACCCTCTTCGCGTGCCAGACCAAGTACGACTTTACCAACTGGATGCCGTACCTGTTTGGTGCACTGTGGTTCCTTATCCTGTTTGGGTTCGTGTCCGTGTTTGTTCCTTACAACAGCACCATGGACCTCATCTACGGTGGCCTGGCTGCCTTGATCTTCTCAGGCTACATTTTGGTGGACACCCAGCTTATCATGCGCCACTACCATGTTGAGGAGGAGATTGCGGCCTCGATTTCGCTCTACCTTGATATCCTCAACCTGTTCTTGGCTATTTTGCGGATCCTGAACAACCAGAACAACAACTGAGTTGTGGGACATGTCTGCAGTCACATAGTGTGTTTCTACAACGAACATGACTTTCTCCCGTTGTCGCTGATTCTGATCTATCTATGCAGCTCCTGTGGCGTCGTGTTTTCTTGAGTAAGTCATTTTGATGTCACTCGTTCTATCATATCGCAGAAACTGGATTTGGCGTGCTCAATATATCTCCATTCTATCATTACCGAGGCACGACTCGCCAATGTATCTTACGCACTGGCTTCAAAAACAAGTACTTCAATTTGGTTAGACCTTGCCGAGAGTAGCTTCCTATCATTAGAGAGTAGCAATGAGGACCTCAAGGGTACTCAAACCGATGTCACTGCCGGCCCAGATGTGCTGGTCCTGCATGATGCAAGTCCTCACGCGCACGCACCCATAGCTAGCGGAATGAAAAGGGAAATTTATGCGATTCTGGGCTTCGATTCGAGGTCCGTAAGGTGGAGTTTTGATAAGTGTCGGACTGGGTCCGGTTCCCCATAAATTCCAGACTGCCGAAGTATACTTTGATGGCGAGGTGGATGTTTACCTGTAGAAGCAGACAGGTGGGTTTGGCATTGATTGAATTTGCATGTGCAACCATACCGGTAATATAGTCCACATAGATATAGATGAACACCATTCTACATGGGCAGCCCTGGAAACAAGCGAGCTTGCGATAATGCATGAATCATGACGTCTGCCAGACGGTAGACCCGTCAGTGTCCCACTCAATCCACCATTGACTTACCCCGCGATTCAAGACAGCTCCGGCTGCCGACGGGAATGCGGTTTCCTTGCCCAGTAGGGAGATTGCAGGCGCTGGCCGCCTTCAGCGTGGCCGTGCCATGGCCTGTGGGACACTGCCTCCAGCGTATAAAGTCCACCACTCTGCTCTGAGCTTCAAAACACTCCACAACAGGTAACCACGTCTACGCATACACGAGGTAGTTACCTAAGTGCACTTTGGTTCTACCAGCCAAGGCAATATAACATGTCTTTCTCCGTACAGGGCAAAACGGCCATTGTTACTGGCGCGGGCTCCGGTGAGTTCACCTGGCTTACTTCTAAGTGTGTACTATGTACTAAAGGTGGTGTGTAAATAGGAATCAACCTGAGCTTCGCGCAACAGCTCCTGGAGAACGGGTGCAATGTTCTGATTGCCGACTTGGGTCTTCGTCCTGAGGCCCAGACCTTGGTTGATCAGTATGCGGACGCGAGCAAGTCCCCTCGGGCTATCTTCCAAAAGACGGACGTGACGATCTGGAAGCAGCTGGAGCAGATGTTCGAGGTTGCGGAGAAGGAGTTTGGCGAGGTCGATATCGTCTGTCCTGGGGCTGGTGTTTACGAGCCGGTACGTCGCCCGTCTTCATCTCTACAGTAGTAGTAGTCGTCTACGTACCTACCTCACCCAGTTTAGTTCAGCTAAGACTGACTGACCCCAAAAGCACTGGAGCAACTTCTGGCGGCCCCCAGGAACATCCGTAAGCCACGACGCCCCAGACAGCGACCGCTACGCCCTGCTAGACATAAACCTCACGCACCCCATCCGCACAACGCAACTCGCAATCTCGCACTTCCTGCGTTCGGACACAGACGCCACGCGCCGCAAGGCAATCGTGCACATCTCCAGCATAGCGGGGCAAAACCCTGCCCTCGCAGCACCCATCTACGTCGCCACAAAGCACGCAATCAGCGGGTTCGTCCGGTCCCTCGCGAAACTCGACGAGCGCTGCGGGATCCGCGTTACGGCTGTTGCGCCCGGCGTTATCAAGACACCGCTTTGGACGGACCACCCGGAAAAACTGAAGATGGTTGATGATGGCAAGGATGCGTGGGTTACGCCGGATGAGGTTGCGACGGTGATGCTGGCGCTTGTGCAGCAGAATCGCGTGAGCGAGGTTATTGGGGATGTGGAAGGTAAGGAGGGGACAGAGGTGTTTCCGGTTAGTGGGGGGACGGTGTTGGAGGTGTCGAAGACGGTCCGGTCGGTTTTGCCGTATAATGATCCTGGGCCTGGGACGAGGCCGGGGAATACGGCGAGCACGACGGCGAAGGTGGAGGATGAGGTTTGGGAGTTGCTTGGGGCTGGATGGGGGGCTTGATCATGAGCTTTTAGTCCTCCGTAGCTAGGCGAAGCGAGTAATAATACAGAGTAATATGACATGAGGAACCATGGGACATTCCACGAACAATGCGTAGGGTGTCAGATAAGAATGAAGAAAGCGGTTGGTGGCTGAGGGGAGAGGATTTGGAGGCGGATCTCTTGACTAATTTTGGAATAACTCAAGGGCGGCAATCAATCAACGCAACGGTGTCTTGTCTCCGTCCACGGGTCTTGGTCTTGTCGTGTGTCTCACCTGCGTCTTCAACTTCCAACTCTCATCTCCTTTCCTTGAAGCATTCCTCACACTTGTTTTCTTCTCGGCTCTTGGTCGTCTGCGAGTGTAGTATGTCGGCCACCCCTGCCGATACTTCCAGTTGATCTGCTTTATCGCCGCTCATTTGTTTCATCCATCCTTATCAGTCCCCGGTCGCATTGAGCATCCATCCGCCCTGCAACCGCCGCCGCGATCACCCAAGATGCTAGACGACGAAGCTACAGTTGGGTCCTCGTCCTCAGATGGCTACCGGTCGAACTCTAGAAGGTACAATCTATGAAAATAGCTCGTTCTTGTACGGCGGCTGACAGCGCTAGGCGCGGAGTCCGAGGGAAGCAAAATCCGGGGTCGCAGGGTCAAGCTAGCTGGATTAGCTGTGTGATTAACCTGGTTAATACAAGTCAGTCTATCCATTACTGCGAATCAGTAATGGACTCAGCTAACAATGATATACAGTTGTCGGTGCCGGTGTCCTCGCTATGCCCCTCGCCATCTCGCACATGGGAATCGTCCTCGGCATATTCGTGATACTGTGGTCTGGCATGACGGCGGGCTTTGGGCTATACCTTCAGTCTCGATGCGCGCAGTATCTCGATAGAGGGAGCGCTTCGTTCTTCGCCCTCTCGCAGATTACATACCCGAACGCCGCTGTGATATTCGATGCTGCGATTGCGATCAAGTGCTTCGGTGTCGGAGTCAGCTATCTCATTATTATCGGGGATCTGATGCCGGGCGTGGTCCAGGGTTTCGTTGGAGAGCCGGCGTATGATTTCTTGGTCGACCGTCATTTTTGGGTGACAGCGTTTATGTATGGCACTTGACACTATATTGGTTGTATGGTGCTAACCGAACCAGGCTGATTATCATTCCGCTCTCATATCTACGGCGGTTAGATTCGCTCAAATACACCAGCATCGCGGCGTTGGTTTCTATGGCTTATTTGGTGATTTTGGTTGTCTACCACTTTATCATTGGGGATACGAAGGAGGGCCGGGGTCCGATTCGTGTCATTCACTGGGCGGGAGCTGTTCCGACGCTCAGCAGCTTTCCGGTGATTGTTTTCGCCTTTACATGTCATCAAAATGTACGTCCTCTTTCGTTGGGGCTCAGTGGGCTGGTATGCTAACAGATGCAGATGTTTTCTATTTTAAACGAAATCAGCAACAACAGCCACTTCAGAACAACCGCTGTCGTGCTCGCCAGTATCGGCAGCTCTGCTGCAACTTATATCCTTGTTGCGATTACCGGTTACCTCTCGTTTGGCAACAGCGTGGGTGGGAACATCGTGGGCATGTATCCGCCAGGCCTATGGGCTACGATTGGACGTGCTGCTATTGTCATTCTCGTCATGTTCTCCTACCCGCTCCAATGCCACCCGTGCAGGGCATCAGTCGATGCAGTCCTACATTGGCGGCCCATGCGTTCCACACGTCAACGAAGCGAGGGCTCCCCTCACCGCCACCCACTTCTCCCTGGAGGCCCTAGGGGTCTGCGAACACCAGAACCAATGAGCGATCTCCGATTCTCCGTGATCACGACATCAATCCTCATTCTGAGCTACATTGTCGCCATGACCGTATCCTCCCTTGAAGCTGTCCTTGCCTACGTCGGCAGTACCGGTAGCACAAGCATTAGCTTCATCCTTCCAGGCATCTTCTACTACAAGATCTCAGCACCAGACTCGCCAGCCCACCAACGTCTCATGAAAGAGGACGATGAGGCTGAAGAAGGTTATGTCTCTGGTGCTAGTGATGATGAGGGCGCTCAGGCTCGCCCACTCACCGAGAGCGGGATTCTGCGCCGGCACACGCGCAACTGGCGCCGGGTTCTCCTTAGGAAAATGAGCCTAGGCCTTGCCATTTACGGAGTCATTGTCATGATAACCTGTCTCGTCACGAATTCCGTCTTCCTTGCATCTCATTGATCTTTTCTTACCCTCGTCAGGGTCATTTCTTTTTCTCTTCTCTTGGCATACAGCTTTCACTACCCTCCTTCCTTACTTTCCTTCCACTTCATCATCATCATCATCATTTTTCTCTTTCTCTTCTTCTTCTTCTTTCCTGTTCACTACGTATATAGAGCCATTCCTGCTTTGCGTGTTCAACATACATTGCAATGGCGTTGGCGTTGGGTTGGTTTTGCAGCTATCCTTCTCTTCTGGATTCCGATACGATTTTGCACGGCCACTGTCTTTGGGTGCAGAGCCGGAGTTTATGATGATAGAGTTTGAATTGATTGGGTTCCATCCTATTGGACTGCATGGACGTGTCTCAGAACTAGTTAGTCTACATGTGCTTTTGTGCAGCAGTAGGGCATATAAATCTTCCTGGTATTGATAGAGCAGCACATAATAGCCCTGGACTACAGTATACGGTAGGCCGCCTAGCTTGGCTGGGCATAGCACAGGCCCGATTAAGCACATCTGGACAGAAAGAGGAACAGAGCAGAGCAGAGTGCAATTGTGGATCAACCTCAGTGCCTGCGACGAAACAAGGAGCATCCTTTTCCTGAATACACGGTGGATCGTCAACCTGTTTTACATCTTATTAATATCCCTTGCCGGGGCGAAGCCCTAACAACTACCGGTACGTGTTCAAGCCAAGTACGCTCACCTACCTCTGAAGTTTCGACCCAACCACCTGCTCGCACTACTCATTTTCTCACTCTCAATGATAGTGTATCAGGAGCCTACTTACAGTAGCACAGCAAGTATGTGTTTCCACGATGACTCGCGCAACGCCTCCGCAGCCCCAACGTCCGCCCCGAAGCCGCGCTACAACACCACTTCCAACCCGAAGAACAGGCACAGTAGCGATCAGAACCAGAAGAGCCAGAAAAGGAAGGACCACAAGAAGAAGCATGGGAGCGGATACGGAGGGTATTACGGGGGGTATGGTGGTGGTGATGGTGGTGGGGGCTGCTAGATAGTGCGTGCTAGGTCTGCAGTTTCAGGGGATGGGGTGAATTGAATACCCCCAAGCACAAGTATTCAGGCCACTCCGCTCAAGAACAGGCTCTTTCCCCTCATTCCCTGGTAGAGAAGCAACGTAGCAGCGGCAGCGGGACATCTCCCGGAGCGTGTCCGTCAAGCGCGCCGGGCCAGACCCGGTGGCTGCTGCGACGCCGTTGGTATATAGATACGTACCTTCTCCTGTTCATCTATCTGCCCGTAGTGGCAAATGAATTATGAGGCCATTCGCATTGCTCACGAGTGCATTTCCTTTGTCGGCGACGCTAACACACGCAATGGCTGAGCCCAAGCTAGCATCCTTCAAATACGATCCATTCCCACTAGGCTCAATCCAAGCGTCCGGCTGGCTCAAGGACCAGCTCGTGCTTGCTGCAGATGCATTGCCGGGTCACCTGTTCGACTTCTACCGGTATGTGGCGGACTCGACGTGGCTGGGAGGCTCATACGAGTACAGCGAGTTGAACGAAGCTGCGCCGTACTGGTTCAACTATATCGTGCCCTTGGCGTACACGCTGGATGATGCCCGGTTGAAGATGCAGGCCAAAGCATTTTTGGATTATACGCTAGAGCACCAGGCCGAGGATGGCTGGCTGGGTCCGGAGGAGACGAGGCAGACACGGGGGATCTGGGCGAGGAGTTTGCTCTTTTTTGCGCTGATTGTAAGAGCACTTCACTTGGCGGAAATCACTTGTACTAAGGATGGTAGCAATATGCCGAAGCTGACCCGTCCGAAACTGACCGAATCGTCACCGCGATGCACAGATTCACGGCCCTTGCGCATACCATGCTGCAGAACAACTTTACTGGTTTGCTCCAAGACGAGCAGGAGGGCGACAACTTCGATCCGTACAGGTTTGGCGTCTCGAGAACACACGAGCTCCCCCTTGCCCTGCAGTGGCTGTACGAGAACCATCCTCGGGGTCAGGAGGGTATCATCTGGGAGACGATGGAGCTGATGTTTACGGGTGGGAAAAGAGGAGGGAGGGACTGGACCACGTTCTTTGTCGAGGGCGTCTTTCCCACGGTGGGCACGCCGGATATCAAGACGAGTGGCTTCACCCACGGTGTCAATCTTGCGCAGGGTGAGTATACTCTTCCAGATGGTCAGTAATAGCAATGGCTCATGCTCTCATCTCAGGGCTCCGGTATCCAACTGTGCTCTACCGCATGACAGGCGATGCGGCTGTCCGGGGCCAGACTGATAACGCGGTCCGGTGGACGGAGCAGTACCAATCGACACGCGCAGGTAGTATAACCGGCGACGAGCATCTTGGTGGCACTAGTCCGCAGAGAGGGTAAGTTCAAACCTAAGCCTGTGGTCTGGTTAACGAGTGGGCGAAGGGAATAACCGAGTATCCTAGATCGGAAACATGCATGGCCGTGGAGATGATGTACTCCATGGCTTATCTATACCGGATGTACGGGGTCAACGAGTACGCTGACATGGTAGAGCGGCCTGCATTCAATGCTCTCCCCGCCGCCATAAGCCCCGAATGTGAGTCTGTCCATGCCAACGACGAGAGCAGGGGTAAATCCTGATAGCGGAACAGGGTGGGCACACCAATACGTGCAGCAGACAAATCAGCCCTGGTCGAAGAACCTCACCGACAATCCCTTCTTCAACGTCGTCTCGTACGGAAGCTCCTTCGGCCTGGAGCCAAACTTTCCTTGCTGCACGGTCAACCACGCCCAGGGATATCCCAAGTATACTGCCAATTCGTATGTCCGCCAGGGACCTAGCCATATCGTCCATGCACTACTAGGGCCCACGACGTTGAACACGCGGGTCCGTGACGAGAATGTGCGGATCACCTGCGAAACAAACTATCCGTTCGACGGGCAGTTTCGATACACAATCACCACTGAGACGTCGCTCGACTTCTCCGTGCGCATCCCGGCCTGGACACTCAGTTCCAACCCCAACGGCAGTCCCAGGTCCAAGTACCGAGTCGGGAAGGGCGAATGGCGCACCCTATCTCCTACCCCAGACTCTCTTCAAAGCTTCAGGATCCCCAGTGGAACTAATAGAATAACAATCAAGGTAAATCTGCACATGGAACCCCGCGTCACCGAGCCCCGAAATGGCACCGACTCCGTGGCCATCTACTACGGGCCCCTCCTCTATGCTCTCGATCTGGAATATGCCAACCCGTCATCACACTCCCCATTGAACTGGACAGACCGCACTCCTCTTCCAGTCACCCAGGTGCTGTCACAGACTCGGGACTGGGTGCTGGATGCGACGTCGGAATGGCGATACGCAATCGACCCGGATTCCGTGACCGTAGAGCGCTTGCATGAGGTTGGCAGGGCTCTCTTGAACCCCGTCTGGGCTCGCGAGGCCACACCAGTGGCTCTGTGGGTGGATGCTTGGGTAATTGACTGGCAGGAGGAGCTGGGTACGGCAGCGCTTCCGCCAGTGAATCCGGTGGTGAGCGGGGAGCCGACGAGGGTCAGGTTGATTCCGTATGGAGCGGCGAAGCTGCATATTGCGGAGTTTCCGGTGGCGAGCAGACAAGAGTAGACGTGGGATAGACGAACGTGAGAGTCGCTTCATATGTCCAGGTGATCTTGCGCAGGATGTTTCGGTCACGAACTCTGAGCCACTCTTCAATCACTTAATTTAGGACTAGTAAGCAAGCACCAGCACCGACCAGAAGCAGTAATAGAAAGAAAAAGGACTATGAGAAGAAGGATGGAAGATGGTATTGGTTGATGGTGGGGAGGGCGCGGAGAGGACCTTGGACTGGAGCACCATCTGGAAGGAAGGGAAGGGACGATGGGAAAGGTAGAATCCTGGCTGTGCAGTTATGGTTGGATACTGCAGAATGGGATACCTCATTATTGTCAATAATTTATCCTCCAATCAGGCCATGAATCTTTACCGAATCAGTCCACATGCACCGCCCAAACATAGCCACCGGGGCAACATGATGGTCATTACGTGCCCGCAGGGCTGAAACAGGCTGCAGATCAGATGGGAGTGGCAGAGTACTCTGGACTGTGAATATATAATGCTTGGAAGCCTGCCGGGCCTGGGACATACATCGCAGAACAAAGAGGTGAATCAAACACAGACGCTTTATCAGACCATCTATATAACCCTCAACTATTTCCTAGCTTCACCTCTTCTACAACCAACCTGTCCTATCCTCAGGCTTGCCTCTACATCAGGCAGAACTCTCCATCTATCTACTTCGACCAACTATCTCCACCTCGCGCCGAACAAACACAAGAGCCATAACTCCGAAATCGTACCCGAAGACGCAAAGACAAGATGTGTTTCCGGGACTCGCGCAACAGCTCATCAGCGTCTGGCTGGGAAGCCCCCAGACCGCACTACAACCCGAACTACAGCTACGCCGGCCACCAGAAACAGAAGAAAAACAAGCACGGACCTGGTTATAGCTATGGGTATGGCGGGTATGGTGGAGGCGGACATGGTCACGGCCATCACGGTCATCACTGCGGGGATGGAGGGGGTGGAGGAGGAGGAGATGGAGGGGGAGGGGGAGGCGGATGTTAGATCTGGATTTGAAGTCATGAGCTGATGGGTTATGAATTAGAATTTACTTGGTCTGTTCTACACGAGTGTATCTATAACAAATCACAGACGAACAACCTCTCCAGAAACCCCGTCCTGTTCTGATCCAGTGCCTCGTCCAGCTTCTCCCAGCCCTCTATCACAGATAAACTGCCCCAACCACCCATCTTGTCTGCCCAGCGCCTTCATCAGCGGCTCACTGGGATCCCAGAGTAATCCGAAATGCGGGATACAGTGGAGATCTAGCTTCAACGTTGGAGCAGGCATTTGGCAGGACATGCGATGGGTCCAAGTCTGGGACATGAGCCTCCGGCACTCACTTGGGACTCGCTCAGTGGCCTCCACAGGGTATCGTCGACGGTGTCGATGGAATTTTCAGATTAGATTGGAAACGGTATGACCTCATGTAAGTACAGTGTAAAGAGTATGTATGTGTACATCTAGAGAATATTTTAATGAATCAGACCCCAACTGGCACAATGTGTACAACCAACGCAGAAACCAACCTACCTTCTATAGCCCGGATGCCCGTCAACGCCAATATATGCAAGTCAAGACAAGATACCGATAATATGTGCGCCGAACTCCAATGCTTTTCTTCCCTTATGCAGGCCATGAATGCCCCATCCTCTCCCTCTCCCATTCTCGCTTCTCTTTCTGATACCGATCCCAGAGGGTCTGGCTTTGCAGGTACAGGTGTTGTACCTCTTGAAGAGCGTGCCTACGGGCCCGGTGATTGATGGCGATTGCTACGATCGCAGCAACAGCCACCAGTAAGACGAAGATTCCAAAGATAGCCAGCCAGCTGTACTCGTCTACTCCAGGGGGCAGCGGCATGTTGTTGGTCTTGTAGTACCGGGAAAGACCTGGGCATAGCAATGTTAGCTGGGACTCTGGCATCGCCGGGTAAGAAGACTCACATGAGAAGCCCTTCCAGTCAAAGTTCCCTGAGGGGTCGCAGCTACATCGGAGGTCCATCCGCAGCTGCTCATCGCGGGGGCAATGGGTAAAGGGTATATGGTAGTAGGAGATTTCATCCCAGAAGTGTAGCTGTTCTTTCTGGAGAAGCAGCCCAGCGGCGATCGAGTGGATAGGTGCGTCGCCCCATCTCTCGTAGTAGAAGCCGCCAGCCTGGTCTAGCGAGTTGAAGTAGTCCAGGTATTGCTTAGATCTTAGCCAGTCCAAGCTTGCAATCTCGAAATTCGACCACTGTATATGTTAGCTTGTTGCAAACCACATGGCATAAGACGCTTACAAAATGGCATTTGTTATAGGTGTCGCCATTGTCGTCACTCAAGAATCGCATCGAGTTTCCTTCCGCGATGTGCTCCGGGTGGTCACCCATGAACTGCTTCACCGAATCCCAGAGTGTTGGGATAGTACCTTCGTACTCATACATACTCATCACGAAGCTATATTTCTTGTTATTCTCTTTCATGAAGAGAAAGGGGTCATAAGGAATATCGCAAAATAGCTCGACGCCGGGTTCCACCCGCCAGTAGAACTCATACTCCTGCAGCAGAGGATGACGGAAGAAGAACCCCGACTCGTAACGACACATGTGCCGATAGCTCTCCGAGTGGCCATATATAATCTTCTTCTCCTTCATCTCTTCCCGAACTTCCCTTGCCTTGTCCTGGTCAATCCAGTCGGGATAGGACCAGTGCTCATTCGGAATTTCACCATAGCGCGTAGTGCCGGACACCAGCGATGTTGTGATACGCTTAAAGTTGTCATCAAAGGGTTGGTCGTTTAGGAAGACCCAGTCATAGTGAAAGTTCCGGTTGAAGCGGTCCTCGACCTGGCGGATGGCTTGCGCAATCTCCCATACGTCCGAGTTCCGTGCCAGAGTCACAAACGTCGCATTGGCACGGCCGCCGGGGTGATTCGCTGCAAATCTCACTACTTCACTGCTTGATTGTGGATTGAGCGAGTATCCGAATGCATTCACGGGTCGGTCATCGGAGGGCGGCGGAGATGTTGAGGCAGAGCCTAGTTTTGTTGCGGAGCTATCGGGGACGGGAAGGGAGCGTCTGGAGAGGAAAAATAGTGCTAGTCCCTACATAAGACAGACGGTCAGTTACGCTGTAGTGATAAGAGGAGAGTAGACCGACCAGGAGGGCGAACAGGATATACCGCGCATACTTCCCCTGTATCGGCGGCATCTCGGTAGCGGCGTGCTATCGGAGCACGGGGTCGCCGCTTGATCTGGAGCGAAGGTGCCTAATCGCAGGTGCAGCTCTTATGACCGCGAGAAGATGCTTCCGGCGACGTCTTGAGTCCGATCACGGTTCTTGGTTGAGCCCGCTAATGCCTTCAATCTTTAGGGGACGCGACAACCGACTGCGGAGAGCGGAAGTTAGTCCGACGAGCGCTGATGGTCTTAGGGTTACGAGTCAGTTGATGGCAATCCCAAAGGGACATCTTCCGGGAAGAAACTCGTGATCGAAGAGCAATTGAGCGTTGCTGGGCTTTTAGAATAGGGTGTGATGGGAGAAAGGACCTTTGCCTACAGCAGCTGTGAACTGAGGGTTCTGATTATCTCATTGGCGGGGACCCATAGCATACGTATGCACCCATCGTGATGCCAGCCACAAAGCCTGAGACAATGAATTGGTCTCTCTACTCCAGAGTAGTCAGCATACAGAGTAGTGGTATTGTTGTCCAGCCACACATGGCTGGTATAGATCCGATGTTGAGACTCGAAGTCGTCCTGCAGATCAGTGCAGCAGGAGTCTCTGCAAAGCAACATGCTTCGTGACAATTAGGGGTCTCTGAAGACATTTTAGCTTTCCTGTCAGACTTGTCAGGCTTGAGCTAGTATGGCCAAGCATATAAAGAGCATCTTGTTACAAAGAACTAAAATTGTTCCCATGAGCATCTGTTCAAGCCTCAGGCACTCAGGCAGAAAACGTGACTTGACTTCATCCCGCACCACAATTATGTTCAGTGCTAAATCTCCCGAGTCCTCCCACCTCGCTCCCCTCGCCCATCCACCTCCCCGTCGAATATGTCGTTCTTCGGCTTCGACACCACCCTTCCTAGGGACCGAGCTCCCCAGGGCGGCCAGAGGGGTATTTTCGACACTCCCGATCCCTTCGCTGAGGTTGCTCGCGCCCAAGCAGCGGCGCTCCATGACGACGATGCCGACGTGTAAGCTATTCCCGCTCAATGGCCGAGCTTTCGTTGTCCATGAGTATCTTCGCGTGGAATAGTGCTGACTCTGGCTTTGATAAATGTAGACTCAATTTCGAAGATACCTACGATGGCTTAGGGGATCAGCTGGACGATGATCAGGATGCCTTCAACCAGGACACCTTCGGCGACGTGCAGGCAGCTCCTGTCGGCAAGGACTTTGACTTCTTCGGAAAGACAGCGCAAGTGTCCGAGGTCATCGGAGAAGAGCAAGTTCGCTACAACCTCCAGAATCCTCAAGCGCCCGTCACTCGCGTTACAGAGACCCAAACTACCACCACCACCACGTTACAACAGCCCAAGCGAACAGGATATGAAAAGTACTCGGATCCCGGTTACATTCCGGATCTCCAGGCCAAGTCCAGTGTCTGGGGCTTGCCGAGTAAACCGGAACCGGCGCCTCAGGTCTCACAGGCGAAGAAGATGATGAGTTTGGAGGAGGTCGAAGCGCAAATCCGGGGCCAAGGTGTCCCCCCGCCGGGACTCGGCGGACCCCAGCTATCTCTGCCGCAACAGATCTCTGAACCTCTCCCTCCCCAGAGACCACCTGGCCTCCCAGAGGGTTTCCCGCAGATGCCGCCCGAATACCTGCAAGCCCAGTTCGGACGTGGTGTGCCGCCGCATCTATTGCATCCCCAGACGATGGCTCCAGAGCCGTTCCCCCATCCAGCCCATGCTCCCAACATTCCTCTGCATCTTCTCCAGAATCCTATCCCGAACCCTAACGGTCCGCCTCCACATATCCAGCCCCTCCAACACCAAGCAATGCCACCGCGCGACCAGCCGCCGCAGCGTCTTCCCCAGCAGTACCCTCAGCAGCACGCCCGCGGACCTAGTGCGCAGTTGCCGCTAATCACCAACCCACAGCAATTGATGAATCTTACGGAAGAGCAGCGCGTAGCGTACTTGATGGAGGACGCTAAGCGTGCTAAGCGGAACCATAAGATTTTCCTTCTATCGAAGGGTAACGGATTGATGACTCCCCAAGACAAGAACTTCATCACACGTATCCAGCTACAGCAGCTGGTGGCTCAAGCTGGGAATATGGCGGATACCGATTCCGACGCTGTCTTGGCAGAGGATTTCTACTATCAAGTCTACAGCCAAATTCGGGGCGCACCCCGGCAACACCCCCATCAGCCCCTTGGTCACTTCGCGCAGACTTACCTACTCCAGACCGGTAATCGCGTCGGTGGCCATTCTCGGAAGCACGGCCAGAGCGCGGATAACCACATGCAGCGCATGCAGCAACAGGTGCAACGTGCGGTAGAGGCTGCCAAAGCGAAGCCCAAGAACAAGCAGCTCATCATCGAGGGTAGTCTAGGAAAGATCTCATTCGGAAATGCCAAGGCCCCCAAGCCCTCACTCAACATCAAACGCCCTGAGAGCTCTGAAGGCGGCAAGGCCACGAAGAAGTTACCGACAGATCTAAGCCCGAGTGACCGCAAATCTATTCTAGCGAACATTGAGAATGTCTACAACACGTTGATGGAGATGGAGGACATTGCGCGTACGATGCCTCCGCCGCCTAACGAGGACGATGCCGAAGCGATTCAGGCACATATGGAGAGGCGCCAGAAATTGAGCGGGTTGAATCAGAAGCTGTGGCAGGAACTCAAGGTTATGGAGGCCATTGTACCCAACTCCAACACCCCCCATCCGTTCATTGCCTTCCTGTCTTATCCCAAGGGCAAGAAAGCTATTGAGCGCATATTCCGCCATATCGACCCGGAACAACGGATTACCATTCTAACCATGATTGTTGTTAACCTGGATAACCTGGACGTTGTCCGCCGAGCGCTTCCTGCACCCGGTGAGACTCAGCCGCCTTTGGCCATTAGGGAAGCCATCGATCTGTTCTCTCAGGCCGTAATGCCATGTCTCCTGGGCTACGTCAACGAGGCCCCGTTCAACATCATCATTGGCCTTTTGGGCCTGGTGCTCACCCATACTCACGTGCAGTTTGTTGCTCGGACGCGGATTGGCTTAGGAATCTTGACTATGCTTCTGAGCAGAGCAGAAATCGTCAAGGAAGCCGGACAGGCCAGCGAACAAGACTGGCAACAGTGGGTTGAGAAGTTCAACATCCTGTTCGACACCCTCGAGCCTACATTTGCCGAGATCTTCCCCCACTCCATCAATGCTGGTGATGACATGTACGTTTGGCAGTTCTTGGCCGCCATCGGAATTGGAGCAAGCCCAGAACAGCAGCAGCGCTTGGTTATCGCCGTCAAGTAAGTGACTTGGTCACATTGTGATTTGTGGATGGTTTACTGACTACTATCTAGGGATCGTGTTATGGAAACCGTCACGCACAGCAAGACGCTTCCGGCCGATATGGCCAGCCAGCGACTTGGAAACGTCAACCTGTTCATGCGAGCCATCGGGTTGGACGTTGAGCTTCTCGGTTAAAAGCAGCTGAGATTGGAGAATTGATTCCTTAAATGGTCAGTTCTTGCTCCACATGAGGCGCAGTGCATGTAGCGATGCACATTGGTGTCGATATACAGTCACGACGCGCCTCCGAGCATATTCAGGGCTACAGGCTCGAGCCCTGTCCTCTTGATAGACGATGCGCGCCGTTCAGGATTTCGAGTCCTCGGGCCCGGGGTGCCTTCTACTCTTCCGGCGTCGGGGAGGGGCGCGGCGAGTAGTGGGGTCGATGATGGCTGAAACGCCATCTGACTACTTTTGGCGAACAACAAACAATATGTAACAACGAGCTTATCGGCAATGCTACGGGGATGACTTGTCACAATGTATTTTTGTGCCATCGGCCTCAGTGAGCTAGACGAGGTTCGGGCTACAGCCGTAGCTAGCATTATTATCTAGTTCTCTTTCTTTCGATAATGAACATTATGCCTTCTTGATCTTGAATCGGCTTTCAACAACTGCGGGTGGCTGCATACTGGTGGTATGCGGACTAGAAGCCAACCGGCTCGATGTATGCCAGTCTGTTAGAATATATAGCAGGCTCCTAGCCTGAAAGCATTCGAGCCTCAAGGCGCTAGTGGTTCGGTGACGGACACTACTACTACGAGTCCACGAACGAACAAGCTACGCAACTGAGCTACAAATACGCAGCGACAACCAAGTTTCTCCCAGCAGATCCCGAACGAGGCCGATTGTTGACCTAGAGCTCCGGGGACTGCCAGGGCCCAGCATCGCCAGTGCCAGTTGAACTTGACCATGAGCATACCCGGGGCCGCCGCCTGGACCAACCAGCCAATGAAGCGACATCAACATCACTGCGTCATTTCAACTTTAAATCAGTATACAGGGACTTTTACTATTCTTTATCTCCATCCAATGGGGTCAAACTTCAGCTGCGAGAGTCCGTAGACGGAAGAGTCGCGCGGCAGTCTATAAATTTGGCACTGGTCAAGAGCGAATTCGAACAATCCTTGCCAATAGCTGGAAAGACGGGACACGTATCATCTGAATTAGATAACGGAGAAGAGCCAGGTTACTTGCCTGCAATGAACATTGTTGGGCGAGAAGTCCATCCATTGTATATATGTGTCGTGGCAACCAGGACGGCATTGAAAGCATCTCAAACAACAAAAGAGTGAAGTGAGTGAGCTTCTGCCGAGGTCGCTTCGTTACGGGAACTCTTCGCATGCAGCCAAGGGAAGTTGTAAATTGTTCAATGCAAACAGCTCGGGACTGGTAAGCGTGTTGAGTTGGTGCAGATGGCCGGATCATATGCCGAGAACGATTCTATACTAAGATTCTTATTACTATACTGTCAGCTCTGATTCAAAGAGGAGAGATGGGTGAAAGTGAAGGGATCTGGCAGCAGAGCTTGGTTTGAGCCTTGACGGGTTGGTTTTGCGGCGATGCCACGGCGGACTCCGTGTTTAATGCTGTTGCTGATACTCTCGGAGACAGACAATTTTGATGGGCTATCCCAGTTCACTTGAAGAAGCCTGAGGATGAAGCTTGACGCGGGTGCTGTGAGCTGGGGTGGAAAATAACTAGAAGTCCTGAGATAAGACTTCAAGGAAGGTCAACTGTAATCAACAGCGACAGCTGCTGTGCTGAGGGAGGAGACCAAGGCAGTGCGAAGAAGAAGGTGCCTTAAATGAAAGCATGGTGCAGGATTAAACTTGAAGGCAAGTAGGCAAGCTTTAGCAGCTGTGAGTCTGAGTTCTTGCCTATGAGTCAAGAAAGGTCAAATATTCAGCTCTACCTAGGCAACAAGCACTAGGCAATGATCAAAAGAGCTGAAGATGTTTATAGGTAGGAGAGCCATAGCCTGCATAACAACATTAGCTTGTGTTTCACATTGTGACACGCATAAGTCTCGGCAAACAAGTTGGGGGTTTGAATGAAATGCATATTACCCAAACATCAACAAAAGAAAGGATGAAACAAGACCCTGGATAACAGGACAGATTGATCCTATGGAGAGGAGATTATGAACTAGCTTAGTAGGCTATGGAAGGAGCTATCACTTCGCCTTTTTTTTTGTGCTTTCAGAATTGGAAATGCAATGCAATGCAATGCAGTGTGACACATTCAGTTATAGTGTCGATGCTCTGCTTCATGCCATCACTGTGCGCTTGCTGCGTCCAAAGGAGGACAACAAGGGCAACTAAACGGTCCACAGAGAGAAACTGAGAGTGAAAAAGTAGTAGAAACAGAATGAGAAAACGACAGTGGAATGAAGAAATCTCATATTAACCGACCAAATGACGCTGGAACAATCCTATCTGGTGGTGGAAATGTCGGCTAAATTCTTCCGTCCCAAGTGAAGTCTTTTCCAGGTTCATCAATTTTTTTTTCCAGGGCGTTCTTTTCGTTATGCATAAATGTCGTGAAAGGCGTTTAGATCAAGTCAGGCTTCGTACGGTAGGCTGACTGCAAGTGACAAATATTTTGACCAGATCTTAGATAGAGGAGCCGTTGGCGGCTAGACAGTCTTGCTCCGGAAGATGGAAGAAGTCTCAGACGAGATATCGACAAAGTCATACTCGTCGGCAGTGCTGGAGCAAAAAGCGTGGTTAGATCTGCTCTGGGTGGTCAGAATATGGTAAGGTACTCACTCGTGTCCCATAGATTCCTCATCCGAGCTGCGGGCTTTGCCATCCAAGCTTCCACGGGGTTGAGCCTGGGTGATCAAGTGCATGTCTGCATGACCGGAACGGCGACGAACAGGAGGCTTCGATAATTTGAAGTTCGGAGTCTGATACTTGACAAACAAAGATATCTCATCGCAGAGACCTGCAGAGAGTTGATGGCTCGTTCTCCAAATGTCCTCAAAGTAGTCGGTATTACGATCGGGAAAGACTTTGTTGTCTCGAGGGACAAGAGGAGACGGCGAGAACTGGGCTCCCCCGGTCGTAGCACGAAGACGAATGAGATGCAGCAAGAAACGGCGATACTCCTTCGTGATAGACTTGGGGGGAGGACGCAGAAGGAACAGCCTAGCGACGTCGCAGAACAGATGAACAGCGGCTAGTCCTCTTGCTAGGCTGAGCCACAAGGCAGTCTTGAGCAGGAGCTCAATGACTTCTTCGCCGACGCCTTGAGAGTTCCAGTTCGCCAAGTCCCCTTTATCGGCTTCTTCGGCTGACAGACGGGGGGTTCCCGGGGACTTGGGAGGAAGCCAGAAGAAAGATCGAGCTTTTGCTGGTTCAGTCCTCGAGACATGCGCCTTGTAGTACTGGTAGAATGCAGTGAACTCGATGTCGGTACCGTTGAAGGTGTCCCAGTGTAGACTGGCTCTGCATGAGTCCATGCGAATCTGCTTCAAACTGTACATTGCCGTTCTTTCGACCGAGATTGGGAGGTTACTGTAGAAGGTCCCTAGGATCAAGACGTCAGCATAGAGCGATATTTTGGATTATGGTCACTTACTGTTCTCATGTTCCGAGTTCAACACCGCATAGACGTCGTGCTTGAACGACTCAATGACTCTAGCAGATGCTTCCAGCTGTTCGCTAGTCCAAGCCGGATCTGAACGTCTAGTGTTTACCCAGAAAATCGAGTTCTTATTTCCCTCACGGATGGGTTCCAGAAGCTTTCTCAGTGTCTCAATCTCAGCCGCAAAAAAGGACTCCTCAATGAGGCTTGTCTCGCTGGGGAAGATGATTGGGTTGCCGTTATAGCGGCTTTTCAGCCAACCTTCTAGACCCAGCTGGATAGCCTGAACCGCCTCGAAGGTCTCGAATAGGATCAGCAAGAGATGCGCATAAGAGCCGGGGAAGAGATCTTTGAGGAGCATGGGAATGGAATCCTTGACCAGGCTGCCAAATGCACCAGGGTCAAAGCCCTTGGTGAACTTGCCCATCAGGTTGTCCAGCTTCTGGTTCTCCGCCTCGACAATCTGGGAAGCTTTCTCGTCAACCAAGGCGTAGGGGCCGCCCTGGGTGTCGAAGGGGATGTCAACAGGTCCAGCGGGACCTTCGGTGAGAAGCTCGGCTGGGGCTGGGAAGGGTTCAAGCACATCCATCATGAGAAGTCGGGCTGAGAGAACACAGTGGACGATGGTAAGAGGATGCAAGAGTAACACAGACTGAATACAAGATAAGGACAAGTAAGAGACTCGAAGACGATGCACCAACAAAAGGCAAGTGTGCAAATTAAAGATTGACTTGTGTTGGAATCGAAGGCTGGGGACTAAGTCATGGCCAGGGCCCGTTGTTGGATAGAAAGGAATGAACCGGGCTGAAGAGGCGTGGGAGGGAGAGATAACTGCTGCCTTGAGAAGAGATAAACATGTCGAGGGCAAAATGGTTGACTGGGAAATGAGAGCATTTGTAGGAGCTGAAGAGATGGATAGTGAATGAGTCGTCCAGTGAATAACCAATACCACCTTTAAGCTCTCAGGCACGTGTTCAGCCTACCCCAGATATCTGATAGGAACACCTGCATTATCTGCATTATAAGCGTGTTATCTACACTAAGATAGATGATCTTTCAATCACAGCAGCAGTGAGAATGATGTTGTGCAGTACCATGACATTTCTTCTAACTTTTACTCACCAGAAACCCAGGTGCAGGATACACATGGAACAATGACACATTATCTCTGCAGATGACTACCACAGATCTCCGAATGCCGTCCAGATAGCGCCATAGGATAGGGAAGTTGCTTACGACTTCGAAGTCCTGGTCTTGAGTGTATCCGGCAGAGAAGTCTGATCCTTCCACAGTCCTGAACCTTCGGATTATCTCTTCATTCAATGAACATCAAAGCCAACAAGGAAACAAGATTGAAGTATCGTAATGATTATCCTGAATATGGGCATATCGACCATAAACGCTGTAAGTCGTTCTGGAGGTTCTTCAATTCTTCGGATGGGGACAGTTGGGGGCGGCAAACACAACGTACATGTTGGTCGAAGATCTTGTATCAACGGCGTTGCTCGATGATAGTTTCATGTTATGACTCGCGAAGACAGTTAGATTCTATATGAGAATCAGGAACCATCGAGCGTCGGTGCAAGTTCCTGGGGAAATGGAGTACGGAGTACATATAAAACCTTATTGATATTTATGCCTTGATGCCTTAGCATGCGACCGTACACCTTTTGTCCTCATCTGGTCGCTTTGGTTTGGACCAGATCTCAATGAGATAATGTAGTCAGTTTCATCTACCGTATCCACTGAATCTGTGCGTACATATATTCAAGCAATGTCTTCTGAAGCTGTTTCATACCATGAGTACGGAGTAGCTTCGTACTTATGGAGCGCTGGCCGCGGTTCCACAAAATTAGCGAGGATGGCGCATTTCAGACATCCGAAATCGCACCGCCACGAATGCGATTCGCTGAAAAACACCCTGGAGTCTGGGATTCTGGAGAAAGACGATCATTCCCAGCAGGATGGTCGAGTCGGCCCGCTCGCTTGCCGCTGAGCTCATTGGGCTGTTAAGGAAGCGATCGCTGCTGGGATACGCGTCGTCGTCTGACAACTGGTCACTGTCCTGTCAATTACTCATCATGACAGAAGAAGAAAGGAGACCAAGTGCTGATTATTACCCCGAGTACCCCTATGAATTTCTCCTGAATCATCAGGGGCTCAGGGTGACATCTCAGGCAGTCAAATTGTAGAAAACGAACTATTCGCTTTAAAGACAATAATGGGCTCAATATCGGAACGGAGCCCCCAGATTGACCACTCGGATGACTGCGGCCTTTGATCATGGAGTCTTGGTCTGAATCAACGGCGACCGGCCATAGCTAGACAAGCTTGGCAAAGCCAGATTTGTCAAACTGTCTCGGCTCTCGCTCTCGTGGAAAACCGAGGAAGACTTACAATGTTTTGAAGCCTTGAAAGGAATGGAGTTGATAGGGCCGGCGAATCTAAGAAACTAAGACATGCAGGCTGTGTTACTATATTTGGGCGCGGGGAACAGGCCGTGGGCCGTTTTTTGTAACTCTGTTGTACTATAGAGCACGTCCTCGTAGTTCTACAGAATATGACCTTGCCGACATAGCTCTAGAGTCTAGAATAGATCTTAGAGACCGTCAGCGGCTTTTGCAATTGAAATGAGATTCAAAAGGAGTCTGGTCGAGGCGAAGATGCAGGATAGCTGCAATGCCTGCGTCGCACCGTGGCATGGATGTCTGCCCTATCAAAAGGGCTCCGGACACATAGAAAAAGAAACCCTTTCAGGCGTCCTATCTGGGATCGGTGTGAGCTGCAGCGAGCCTTTAAATCGTGCCTGTCCCTGTAGGTCTAGAGCCAAAGGTAGACTGGTTGACGCAACAGATGTCTGGTTCAGCCGGCTGATGACGCAGCCATCCAGCTGTGTGCACCCACTGTATTCCCTGTCGACATGTTCCTGTCTGAGGTTTTCAGCTCCTCAACTATCTCGTTGTCTCGATTCTCAAGCATTGATCAACTCGGTCGCTACAATCACTGGATAACAGACTGTCCTCGCAAGGTAAGTACAAGTGTGGACCTCAGGGAGGCAACGGTGACAGACCCACGCCCATCATCTGCGACCTCCACCGGGAACTCCGTTGCAGACAAAGTCTCAAAGGTCTTACTCCGTGCTCACCTCGTTTTCTTTCTGGCTCTTGCTTGCGTCTTGTGTCACTCTCACGGCTCGCTTCTACATCATCCGCTCGCTGTCTTCCTTTTCTCTTCCCTCTCTTCTTCCATTGCTTGGACACCCCCGCCATCTCCCAGCGTTTAAACTATCGTGTTAGCGTCCGACTGACTCGGTCAGGCGCTGACGAGTTCCTCGGCCTTGCGCCATCAATTAAGAACCACTTCATCTTGGGCCTCGTCCAGCTTCACTTTTTCCCGTGCCGCTCGCTTTCTCACTCGCTTTCTGCTGCGTCCTCGCCCCATGGAATAATTCGTCCAACCCAAGCCTTGGCGGGTCTTCTGCTGTCTTGACACTGTCGCTATCTCCGTGCGGAGGAGCCGGAGCCAAAGCCAAACACTTTCCCCTCTCCTCCCGCCTCTTCACCTTCGTCCGTTCGTTTTGTCCTCTTTAAAACCCTTCTTAGAAGCTGGTCTTCCCGTCATCGTGTGAAAACCAGCAGTCGCAATCATGGGTCGCTCTCGTGGTGAGTCTATCTGCTGATATCGGGTTACATCTACATCGGACGAAGTATGGCTGACGCCCCTTGCGTTTCTAGTGCTGTCATTTCTATCCTCTCTTGGAGGATCGTCCCGTAAAACAAGTCCCGAAAGAGGTGACCGAACGGCTTCAGCATACGGTCCTTCGTCAAGATTCGAGACGCCTTCCCCAGACACACCTTCTCCGCACGATGGCCCCTCATCAAAAGCTGAACGGCGCGCGTCGCGGCCGGGCTCAACAGTCTTTTCACACAATCCGCCATTCATGCAGCTCGCAGAGGACACTCCTGCTGAATTGCAGCGTATATTTTCCTATATGAATAGCCATGCAAACAAATTATACTACGAGGGCTACTTCCTGAAACTGAACGACCTGGATACCAGTACGTTTTCGCTCATTGGCTGCAGGGACTCGGATTAACTTTTGTTCTAGATGGTCGACCATGTGCTGACCGACAATGGGTGGAATGCTATGCACAACTTGTCGGGACAGTCTTATCCCTATGGGACGCCGCCGCGCTGGACGCGGCAGGCGATGCGGCGGCCGAAGTTCCTGCAACTTTCATTAATCTCGCGGATGCGTCGATTAAATCGGTAAGTTCTTTTTGAAGCCTTCCCGTCGATGGCGCCTTCTAATGATCCCCAGATCGAAAATCTCCCTACGCAAAACCAGGCCGGCGCACAGTCTCTCCAGAATGTCTTGAGCGTCTGCTCCGCCGGTCAGAACCGATACCTCCTGCACTTCGACTCTTACGACTCTTTGATGCACTGGGCTGCAGCAATCCGCCTGGCGATGTACGAACACACGTGTCTCTACGAAGCGTACACCGGCTCCATCATTGCCGCGAAGGGCAGAGAACTGAACAATATCAGAGCCATTTTGGAGCGCAACCGATTCAAACATGAAGACTGGGCCCGAGTGCGATTTGGAGCTGGAACCCCTTGGAGGCGTTGCTGGTTTGTGATCACTCCGCCAGATGAGAAACAGCTGCAAAAGGCAAAGAAAACCATGAAGAAGAAATCAGCATATGACCGGGCCCCGAGGCTGGTAATCGGAAACATTAAGTTCTATGAAACGAAGAAGACGAAGAAGGTGAAGCCTATAGCGACAGTCACGGACGCCTATTGCGCATACGCCATCTATCCCCAATCCAAGGCCTTGATCGACCAGTCCACACTGATTAAGATTGAAGGGAACTTTGTCCTACATTCACAATCAGAGTCCAAAGTGGAGGGGTTCGTTTTCGTCATGCCGGAGGTCCATCCTGCCGTGAGCGGTTTCGAAATCATGCTTCAGTTTTTGATGCCGACTTTTGACACCTTCAATCTCTACGGGCGCCCAACTCGACTCATTGCTGCGGTAAACCACATCAAGAGCATCATGTTCGCATTTCCGGACCAAGAACGATATGACTATCTGGAAATCATGGATATCGTGAATCTACTGCGGACCTCTGGGTCGCAGAACTGGACTGAGGCTGAGTGGAGGAAGCAGCTCAAGGATGCAACCGCACGTCGAATGGCAGATGCCAATAGCCGAACAAGTAGCATCTCAAGCAGGCCTCGTTTCCGCGCCAGTCTCCCGAGCCGGTACAGCCAAGTCCCATCGGCGCCGTCTTCGCGCAAGGGACCTTTCCCAGAATACATGTCCACGTTTAACCAGTCAGTGGATGCTGTGGTGCAGCAGGTGCCCCCAGAGGATTCATTCACACCGGCGCCACACTCACGAAGCATGTCCGATACAGCGAGATTTGCTCCCAAACCCTTCCAGGGACCCGCAATGATGGAAGATTCTCCCGCGTCTTCCGCCCAAGACTTGACAGGAAGCCCTGCCGTTGGCAGCTCTCCTACCCGAAGCAGCTCCGAGGATGAACAGAATCCGTATTTTGAGCAAGGACCATATGTGAATCCCGCTCAGGTACAACAAGTGCCTCCGGGTGTTGCGCCGCCACCCACCCTGATCCACGACCCTATTGCAAGGCCTCCTACCAGACCCCAGCCCTCGGCGGACGCCCGAAGAGCCAACGTCCGCATGTCCGATTCAACCCTCGCGCAACTAGTTGCCGCCGGCGGCATGAACCTGGCCGATCGACCCTCTACATCAGCGAGCAGCAGTGACTACACCAATAGTAGCAGCCCCGTACCGCCGGGCTCGTCGCACGGGAATGCTGGCATTCCGACTTTTACCGCTAACCAACCAATTGAAACACAAGAACAGGGCCCGCCAGTGCCTGAACATAACTTCGGGGTTAGCGGTTCACTGCCAGCTCCTAAGGCAAACCGATTGAGCACTCAGACCATCACCATCGATATTGAAAAGGCCGTCAAGCGAAAGCCGCTCAGTCGGGCCCCATCGCAAGTAGTAAGCCCACAAGGCTCAATCGGCGAGCCAAGTTTCGATGATCTTCGTCATACTGTCGATGAGGATGCCATGAACCTAATTGGTATCGTCAGTCAACCCACTTATACTGCGGCATATTCTGTACCGAAAAAGTCAGCACCTCTGGAAGAAGAAAGTGTTTATGATGACGACGTTTCCACCGCGTCCCCAGACTATGCTAGCACAGGTGGGTCTTTATACAGCAAGGACTCTGTCAAGTCGATACCCAAGCGGATGGGAGTCAGAAAGACTGTGGGATCGGGCCCTGAACCGAAGGATGTGGTTATTGGCGACGCGCGCTACAGTAAGGAAAACAAGCCGGAACATAACCCTGACATCCCCGCGATTGACTTTGGTCCAACTTTGACCTACCTACCCACTACCAGCGGTCCGAACGCCACTGGCCGTCCGAATACATCGGACACGCTGAAAAAGTTTGGGCACCACAGGAGTGATTCTGAGGCTACAGAGAGGCAGCGATATTCCCTGCCTGCGCGTCAGAACGACCGCAACCAATCGAGGTCACCAAGTCGGGACGAATATCGACGCAGTGTTTTGTGGCAACCCGCTGCCCCTCGCCCCATAACTCCCGGCGGTGGTCTCACGCCAGAACAATTCGTGCAACAGCGGGCAGCTCCTAGCCCACCGGTCCATCCTCACCGTCGATCCCCTTCTACCTCGACGGCAACACCAACCCCTCGACCGGTGTCCGGTGACTGGGCGGCTCATACCAGGTCACAGTCACAAATGAGCATGGGCCGACCCAAATCGCGCGGCGCCAGCAGCATGTTTAATTTTACTGATGTCTCGCCACATCTTTCCGCCCGCGAGCAAGAGCATGTGGCTCGTATGACCGGCTCATCGTTCTTCAATCTATCCGGCGATAAACAAAAGACGCCACCTCCCGTCAACCCAATGGGCTTGGTTGGAGCAATTGATGCCCGAGAGCAAGAGAAGAGGTTGATGAAAGAAGGCATGTCAAACCAGATGGTGCAACATGCGATTGCGCAGCGTCAGCACCAGTGGCAACAACAGCCGCAGCAGACGCAGCAGACGCAGCAGATGGCGCCAGCAACTCCTGCTCATTCATATGGTGTTCAAGCCGGATCCAGTGACTCTTATAACATGCCTACGGCAAGCCGTACATGGGATGCTCTGAATCAACCATATCGCCCCGAGGAACCTCGGCGTCAGTCTTGGTTCAGCCAGTTCCCCTCGCAGCCTCAGCAGTCGAGTCCCGCCATGTACCAGACAAATCAACACAATCCGCAGACCCAATTTGGGACAAACGCGACATACTATTGAGATTTCTACCAACCATTACCCATCTTTCTTTCGAGCGTTCTGATTCCTATATTTACATTGCATTCGCTGTTTATTTTCTTTCCAAGCTTATGATTCGGCCGTGACATATCACATTCTACTTCTTTCACGTTCCCTTTTTTGGCCCTTTGCACACGAAATCCTGCATTTTAGACCTAGATTTCAATTACCCTCTTTCAGTCACTCTTGTCTTTTCTCTTTTGCCATCACCGCAGCCTCGACTATGAGCTGCAAGCATCAGTCGGCGCTGGGGTACTTTTCCAGATTGAACATTCATGTCCAGCATTACTCGCACATTTCATTGTGGGCAGGAAAAGGTGTTTTCGGTCTCAACCGAGGATTATATATCTGTTTGTTACTTCTATATTCGAATTCTCTCAGTACATTAATGGCACTTCTCATACTCGTCGCATGACTGTTCTCCAATGCCATACTGACGTACTTCAATAGCATTCTCACTATTTCAGTGCTTGTCATGTATATTTTGGCTTATTTTGGCGTAGAATCCTGCTCCAGAGCAGTGGAATTTGTGGTTACCCCTCACGAGTTATCAACAAGGCCTTCTGCGCTGTGCATACGCCAGCCATTGGTTCGGGACGCGAGGCAATTCCCTACCGTAGGGAATTGTAGGTTGGATGGGTGATGATCCTTCGGGTTGAGACAAAGAAAGCCTGCGTGAGTGCACTCTTCGTTGTCTTCCGCAAAGCCGAAGATTAACCCCGCCAGTCTTCCCAATAAGCTCTTGCCATTGGCGCATTACTCGCAATCAACGCATGCAGTACCAAGTTTATTCTTGGTTGGTGAGAGCCAAGCATGGTGGCATCTTTGACATCGGCTTGGCCTGGACAACGCTGGGTCCGCCCCAGAGGAGGGAGGTGCTTGGTTAGGGCCACGTAGGTTAATGATAAATGCGGACGCATGCATGCATGATAGGATGGCTTTACTATAAATTCTGAGTATATTAACGTGGATGTATGTACATTGCAGTCGGATCTGGAATGAGGAGTCCGGCCTAGATAGACCTCTTCTAAGTTCTAGCCCTAACTTGGATCTCGGTGCCAGTCTAGACCGCCAGAACGAACCACCAATACACCAACCCATTACATTTGCATTCGCATTTAAATCCATCAGTTGATTCATCTTAAATAATTATTAAAAACATCTAATCTACTTTTCCTATGCAAATCATACAGCACGCACATTGGAGTATATGGACCGAAAACAGAAAGAATGTAAGGAAACGCCCGCTAAGAGTTTACCATCCCGAAGTCCAGGAACGGATCGATCATCATGTCGTCATTATTGGGATTGGGTATCTGTGTCTTCGAAGCAGAAATAGACTCCTGCATCATGATATCTGAGTCGAAGAATCCTGGTGCAGATTGAGGAAGCATCGAATACTCAGTGTCGCTAAGAACATACGATCCAATGCTGGGATCAGGGAGCTGGTGTTGGTGTTGAACGTGGCCTGCAGTCTCAGTTGGTACACGGCCATACAGGTCCGAGCCCTGGTGATACGAGAGGTCCTCGTTGTCGAACTCAAGACCGTAGATCCCAAAGACGTCGGCTGGAACAGGTTCGGAGCCGTCGCCGAGGAGCGCTCGTTGAAGGAAAAGATCTCGAATGTCGTCTTCTGCGTAGTTGTGTTTACTGCCCATATGGACCCAGAGATCATAATTGCGATGGAAGCGGTGCGGGCACGCTTCGACAAAACAAGCAATCTGGCGACCGGTTTCGTCGGCGTAGCCTTCACCAGTTAGGGCAGCGAGCGCGGTGGGGTTGTTGTTTGAGGACGACGGCTTTTTTGTCTGGCCGAGTTTCTGACGACGTTCAGCTTTGGAATTTTGGAAGCCCATGTGGGCTGTGCGAATGTGTTCTTCGAGGGCTAGTTTGCTGCCGTATCGTTTTCCGCAGCCGTCGGCGCTGGCCCACCCGGTGACTCGTTTGGAGGTGGAGAGATCTGTTTCGCCGCAGACAAAGCGCTTCTCGCCGTCGTGTACAGTTCGAATGTGCACAGTCAGGTTTCCCTTTTTCGTGAAGCTACGGTCGCAGCCTGGGACGGTGCAAGGGAAGATTCGGCGGTCATCGAGACTGACGTTGCCGTGGGCTACTTCGAGATGGCGGCGGAGCTCTCGTGCTGTCGAGCAGGTGACAGAGCAGTGGGGACATTGGGGAGGATGTGCGGTGCGGATATGAGCCTGTAGTAGAGAGTATGTTGGGAAAGTAGCAGGGGGGATCATGGATCCATCCTCTACACGCTGGGAGCACTCCGAACAGCTGAACCGCTTTTCCGTGTGGACTCGGCTTTCATGAGCCCGGAGATGACCCGCCGACTCAAATGCCATCAAGCATTTCTCTCCAGTTTGCTGGTCAACATGCTGGCACTGGAACGGCTTTTGTTTCAGATGAACGGACAGGACATGTTTCTGTAGAGTGGAGTGCTTGCGAAAAGTCTCATTGCAGGGCGGATACTCGGTGCAACGAAATTTGTCTTGGCCGTCATGGGCAGCTAAATGTCGACGCAATCGAGAGCCAGTCACGAAGCTCTTCCCACAGCCCGGGCGGTCACAGACATAGTCTCGGATTCCGGTATGGGCGCTTTTGACATGGTGGTTCAAGTGCGAAACGCGTAGGAAGGTCTTGTCGCATCCCTCATAGGTGCAGCTGAATAACCTTTCGTTGTTGTGCGAGCGTAGATGCTCCTGGAGGCGGGCGGGTCGATTGAACGCTTTGGTGCAACCTTCGAATGGGCAGCGGTGGGTTTTCAACTCCGACGGATACCTCACGGAGGTTGAAGCTGTTGAGAAGGGTGTGGCTGGTGTGTCGTGAAGACTGCTTGTGACGCTGGCATCATCGGGAGAATAGTCATCGTCGGAATGTGGTTCCTCGTAAATTGGATCTGATGGATGTTGATGAGCAACTGAGATACTACTTGATAGACTCCGACTAGCTTACCGGTCTCATCGGCCGCTTGTTTCTGGAGCCGTTTAGGGCTAGGATAGTCCCCGGACGACGACCTTTTTCGTCCCATGCTCAAGAAGCACACAGCAAAGTGTGCTATAAAGTTCGGGACATGTATGAAGTGTCAAAGCGGAATAAATGATGGACACAGATGGACGATCTCAGATAAAATGCTGGAGAAATTCAAAATTTTGCCAGAAAAGTGGAAAGGGCGGTGAGAGCTCTATACCCAATCGGGCTAGCGGCATCAGGAACTTTTCCGCCGCCTTTTTTTGATGTCGCGACAGCTTTGAACGAATCTTCATAGAAAGCGCCTTTGCGTCTCGGCTGTCCCTCGCTTCTCTCCTTTCTGAGCATCAGTCATTTAAGCTCCACCAAACCCAAACCGACACAATGTCCGACTATGGCGGCGACCACGAAGCTGAAGAAACGTAAGAACAGAGCTTTCCTCTCAACATGGCGAACCGCGGAGCCCGCATTGTTCTTATTGAATTGCTTGAGAATGTGGTATCCTGACTCTGCATCACAGTTATGACTACGAGCCCGACCAGGCCTACGATGAGATTGAGCCCGATGACTTTCTCAACCCCGAAGACGTCGAAGGCGAAGAAGGCGCGGAGGGTTACGAGGATGGCTACGGCGCTGTGAATGGAGACCGTGTGGTTGTTTCCGGCGACCCGAACGCAGGATACTCAGGGAAAGTGGTTGAGCAGCAACGGGCGAAGAAGATCCCCAACGACCAGCGCACGACGACCCCATACATGACCAAATATGAGAAGGCCCGTGTTCTGGGTACACGAGCGCTGCAGATTAGGTTCGTTGCGCAGTTGCAAGCATCAATTCGGCAAAGCGCTCCCACTGACACCCCACTAGTTTGAATGCGCCAGTACTCGTGGATCTTGAGGGAGAGACGGATCCTTTGCAGATCGCGATGAAGGAGCTTGCGCAGAAGAAGATCCCACTCATTGTGAGGAGATACCTTCCGGACGGAACGTAAGTCAAGCCTTCACTTCTGCTGCTATCCTATCCTGTTTGGATTGGCTTGGTTCTGATATTGACTCATTGATAAAGATATGAAGACTGGACATGCGAAGAGCTTCTATAATTTAATGATGAGCTTGTACTTTATACCGGGCTTTGCTTCTTGTTATCGATATTTGTTTGATCTTTCCTTCCGCATAGCGTTTGGAGTTTAGGAGTAGGACATGGGCGACGGTCAATCAGCCGAGTCCTACAAAGGGAAAATAAACAAAAAACACGCAATTGTTGGTGACTGTTCAGAAGAAAAAAATTTGAAAGAAAGTTTGTCGTTGAGATCTGGTTGCTATCTCCTTAGAGAGTATAAAAATTTGAATGACGAAGCTGCGTACGCAGCTCCCCAGGGAAAGCAAGGGACCCTGACCATATGGGGTATATCCGGGTCCGCCTAACCTACTACGGACTATCTGGGCATCCTCGTATGCAGTCTAACCGCAAGTGCGAAGCTGAAATATGTCTCCGGCTATATTCAGCAATCAGCATCGATCGTAGTTCATGCATGGTTCGCTCGCCATCTGAGGTATCACAGAGCCGAGTCCAATGGTTGCTCACAGCCAAATACTACTCTCTGGGAATATGACAGCTCATTAACGGATCGAATGAGTTAAGCTTCTGATTGCGCAGAGCAGAAACATGAACCAGGGGTACCACGCTTGGAGAGGTTCACCGAACCTCCAAGCAAGGCTTAGAAATAGATTAATAAGCCATCTTAGCAAGGCTTAGAATTTTTACTTTAAATTTTTAAACCTTGGTACTACTTAGTATTATAAAATATTAAATTTTTAAGCCTTAGTCCTAATATTAATACCTTATTTATATTTAAATTTTATATATATTCTTTATTTAACTTATTTTAAGATAACTAACTTTAAATACTAAAATTAAATTACCTGTATCCTTAATAATATACCTATTATTAAGGTAATATAATAATACTTAATATATTTAATATATATATTAAAACTATGTGTAAAACTAAAAATTATATAAAAAAATAATACCTTTTAAGCTAAATTTTAATATATTTAATATTAAAAATCCTCCCCCTAAGCCTAAGCCTAAACTAAAAATTAATATTATTAAGCTAGACTTTAATAAGATTCTGCTTTTTATAGGCTTATTATATAAGAAAGTTTAGGAGTTTAACCTTATAATATTTAGTAATAATAAATTTAAAATTATTATTAATAAGGTTTAAAAGTATTTATTAATATTTTTATACCCTATTATAAAAAATTTAAAAAGCCTTATAAATCTAAAAATTCTTTATTTTATTTATTACCTAAATTTAATTACTAAGGCCCTAATTACAAGTTATTTTAATAATATAACTATATAAGTAATATTATAAGTATATATAGTTTTAATATAATATACATGCTTAATATATGCTTTATAAATATAGTTTTATAAGTTAGGTTTAGGCTAAGTAAAGCTTTAAAATATGCTACTATTAACTTAATTTAATAATAAATAAAAATATAGTAAGGTTTAGTATTATATATATATATATACCAGGCTAAAGTATTATCTATAAATTAATTAAGCTTTTTTTAATTTTTTTAGTTTTAAAGGTACTAGCATCCCATATTTTAATTATAATTAGGTTAATTTTTACTTTTTTTAATACCTTTGGGTATATTAAAAAACCTAATATTAAAACCTTAGGCCCATGGATATTTTAAAAAAAAAGACTAAGTAGTTTTACCTTAGGTTTTTTTATAACTAGTAAATAAAAAGTAAAAAAAAAAATAACTAAAGTGCACTATATACCTATAAAAGGTATTTTACATGTAAACTTAAAGTTTTAGCACTATTTAAGTATAATAAGGTATATATTTTTTATTATTCTTATATTTATTTTATATATACTAATTATTAGTATAAGCTAAGTTTATTAAATACCTAAAAAACTTTAATTTTAAGACCTGGCATATAGCCTAATTACTTAAAAGTTTTACTTATATTATTAATAAGCTATACCTATAGTATCTTTTTAAGATAAAACATAGAGCTGTAACACCTTTAAATAAATATATTTTTATTATTATAAATATTATATAGGTTACTTATTATGGTAAGTTATTTCTACCTTTTTATTATTATTTACTAATTTTTTTTATAAATTAAGCTTATATAAAGCATGGCTTTACTAAGCTTGCATATATAAAGTATAATACCTAGTTTAATTTATTTATACTAAAAATATATAAATAATATTTATATATACTATTAATAACCCGTGGCTATTATATATATTTACCTTTACCCCTGTATTTTATGCCCTAGGATATTACTAATTAATATATTAAAGCACTTTAAAAGCATAATATCCTTACCCTTATTATAAGTATATACCTACTTTGTTTATGCTGTGCATATACCAGGCATTTACTTATAATATAATTATATAAAGCAGTTTTTAGTTTCCCCTAATTAAATTAATATTTAAAAATAATTTAGGTTTTTTATTTTCCGTACCTTACATAAAAGCTTAAATATTAAAAATAAGCTTATAAGCTTAATTTAAAAAAAGCGCCTTTTATAATATAAAAAGGGCATAAATATTACTAGTGTTTTTTATAAATTTAAATTTAATAAAAAGCGGCCACATGGGCAATAAATTTAAAAGGTTTTTTTTTTTAAAAAAAATTATAAATATTATATTATTTTATGCTATATAAATGCATAAGTAAATACTTTTTAATAAGTATAGTTTATTTAGGTAAATCTTTTCTTTAAAATAATCCAAGGCAAGACTAATATTTTTAGTATTATAAAATAAAATAAAAAATATTAATATAAGTTACCCTAGTGCTTTACTTATACTAGGCATATATTAATTTTATAAGTATTTAAATATATATATATGCCTTTATTAACCTTAAAACCTAAAAGGTATATTACACTATATTTTATAAGATTTTTAAAATACTTGCCTAGGTTAGTTAATAAAATATATACTTTACTTATATTTATAAAATTAAGCATGGGATTTATATAATTATTATTAATATATATATAAAGCAGGGTCCAGGGCTTAGTAATTACTTATTTAAAATTAATTTATTAATAAGCTAGAATAAGTATTTTTTATATTTATTAGTTTTTTACTAGGTTCACGTGAAATAAAACTTTCGCAAGAAGTTTAAAGATTATTTTGCTAAGTAGGCTATTTATAAGTTATAAAATTTTTTTTTAGGAAGAAATTACTTAATAAGGTAAAGAGTATTAAAAATTTTTGGCCTAATAATAAGTTAAAATAATAATTAAACCATAAAATTTATAAGCCTTAAATTTTTAGTGTATTATATCCTGGCTAGTTTAAAATAAATTATAAATAATAACAGCTTGTAAGTAAGTATATAAATATTAATAAAAGTTTTTATTTTATAAATAATAATACTACTAGTTAAAAGCTTTTTTTACTTAATAAAATTTTATAATTTATACTTTTTTTATATATGCTTAGTACAAGGCTAATATATACCTAGTTTTTAAAAGGTAACTAAGGAGCTTTTTGCCCGGCTTAAATATTAAGAATAAATAGGTATAGGCTTTTAGTAGTGGTTAAAAAACCTAGTACCTTAATAAACTAAAAATATAAGGTAATAAGTAGCTTGGAATTAAAAGTTAGCTATAAACTAGTAAAAAAATCTAAAAATTTTATATAACCCTTATAATTTTTTTAACTTGGTTTATATTATGCCGCCCCTAGCTAATAACTTTAATAAAATAGTATTTATAATAAGTGCTAATACTTTTACTTTACATATGCATGGCATAAGGTCTATATTTATTATATTTAATATTTTTTTATTTATAGCTAAAGGTATACCTGGCCCTAGCTAGCTATTACCCTTACTAAATATTAAATAACATGCATGTTAAGAATTTATAGGTACTATATTTAGTAAGGCCTTAGAAGCTTAATAGCATGCTAAAAAATTATAGTAAGATAATAATAAAAAGGTAGTAAAACTAGTGTTTTTACTTAAATAAAAAAGGCAAAGGGATTTAGATAAGGCACTAGCAAAGGCAAGATTAGAAATAAATAATTAATTTTTTTAAAATACCTTTTTTAATATAAAATTAAATTATAAAAATTAAAAAATATAAAGTTATATAAACTAATTTATTATAAAAAATTAATTATTAATATTTTATAATTAGATTTATATTTTTTAAAATAAAATATTTAAAATTATAATNTATTTTTATAATAAAAAGCTAATTTATAAAATATTATTTATTTAAATTTAATTAAATTATAATTTAAGTTTATAAAATACTTAAAAATTAATTTTTTAAATAAAAATTAATATTTATTTATTAAAGTTTTTTATAAAATATTTTATTATTTTTTAATTTTTTTTATATTTTAATTTTTATATATAAGTATTAAATAATTAAATTTAATAATTTATATAAAATTATTATTTTAAGTTTATATATTATAATTTATTTAATTTTTATTAATAAAAGTTATTTTATAATTAAAATTAATATTATACCTATAAATACTAAGCCCCTAATAAAATAAAAAAAACTTAATAAAATAAAAATTATAGTAATATTAACTTGCTATATATTAATAATAATATTATTATTTTAATAATATATATAAGGCTAATACCCTAGTAAAAAAATAATTAATTAAAAGTTAATTTTTATATATTTTAGGCCTTAAAATTTAATATTAATTTTTTATTAAATAGTTTTTTAATACTTTATTTTATATTTAGTTAGCTTATTTAAGGTTTTTATAATTTTAATTTTTTTAATTATTAATTATATATAAAATATGTATTATATTACTAGTATTTATATTTTATTTTTAAATAAAATTATTTTAATTATTTTAAAAAGGGACCCTTTAATACTTAATAATTTTTAATTTTAGCTTGTAGTAATATTTTAACTAGCTTAATATTTTAAAATTAAATTTTAAAAAAGTACTTAAAAATATAAATTAAATTAATAATAAATTTTAGGAGCTTTAACTATAATAAAATTAGTATATAAAAGTAACTAAATTTAATATATTAATAAATTAAAAGGTATAAA